TATTTCCCTGATGATGAGTGACATTGAGCATCTTTTCATGTGTCTGTTAGTCATCTGGATGTCTTCTTTGGAAAACTGTCTGTTCATGTCTTTTGCCCATGTCTTCACTGGATTATTTGTTTTTTGGGTGTTAAGTTTGATGAGTTCTTTATAGATTTTGGATACTAACCCTTTATCTGATATGTCATTTACAAATATCTTCTCCCATTCTGTAGGTTGCCTTTTAGTTTTGTTGATTGGTTTCCTTCACCTTGTAGAAGCTTTTTATCTTGATGTCTCAGTAGTTTATTTTTGCTTTTGTTTCCCTTGCTTCAGAAGACATGTCTAGTAAGAAGGTTCTGTGGCCAAGGTCAAAGAGGTTGATGCCTGTTTTGTCCTCTAGGATTTTGATGGCTTTATGTCTTGAATTTAGGTCTTTTATCCATTTTGAGTTTATTTTTGTGTATGGTGTAAAAAAGTGGTCCAGGTTAGGTTCATTTTTCTGTGTGTTGACATCCAGTTCTCCCAACACCATTTGCTGGAGAGATTGTCTTTTTTTTCCATTGGATATTCTTCCCTGCTTTGTCAAATAATAGCTGGCTATACATTTCTGGATCCTTTTATGGGATCTCTATTCTATTCCATTGATCTGTGTCTGTTTTTGTGCCGGTACCACACTGTCTTGATGATTACAGCTTTGTAATACAATTTGAAGACTAGAATTGTGATGCTTCCAGCTTTGGTTTTCTTTTTCAACATTAATTTTGCTATTTGGAGTCTTTTCTGGTTCCATACAAATTTTAGAATTGGTTTTTCTAGCTCTGTGAGGAATGTTAGTGTTATTTTGATAGGGATTGCATTGAATGGGTAGATTGCTTTGGGTAGTATCAACATTTTAACAATATTTGTTCTTCTGATCCATGAGCATGGAATGTTTTTCCATTTCTTTGTGTCTTCTTCAGTTTATTTCAGAAGCTTTCTATAGTTTTCAGTGTATAGATCTTTTACCTCTTTGGTTAGGCTTATTCCTGAGTATTTTATGGTTTTAGGTGTAATTGTAAATGGGATGGATCCCTTGATTTCTCCTTCTGCTGCTTCATTATTGGTGTATAAAAATGCAACCAATTTCTGTACATTGATTTTATATCCTGTAGCTTTGCTGCATTCATATTATCAGTTCTAGCAGTTTTTTGGCAGAGTCTTCCAGGTTTTCCATATAGTGTATCATCATATCATCTGTGAAGAGTGAAAGTTTGACTTCTTCCTTGCCAATTTGGATGTCTTTTATTTCTTTTGGTTGTCTGATTGCTGAGGCTAGACCTTCCAACACTATGTTGAATAACAGAGGTAATAGTGGACATATATGGCCTTTATGATCTTGAGGTATGTTCCTTCTACCCTGACTTTCTTGAGGGTTTTTATCAAGAAAGGATACCATATTTTGTCAAATGCTTTTTCTGTATCTATTGAGAGGATAATGAGTTTCTTACCCTTTCTTTTATTAATGTGATGTATCATGTTGATTGATTTGTGGATATTGAACTACTCTACAGCCCAGGAATAAATCCCACTTGATCATAGTGAATAATTCTTTTAATGTATTGTTGGATTTGGTTTGCTAGTATCTTGTTGACAATTTTTGCATCCATATTAATCAGGGAGATGGGTCTGTAGTTCTTCTTTTTAGTGGGGTCTTTGTCTGGTTTTGGAATATCAAGTTAATGCTGTCCTCATAGAATGAGTTTGGAAGTTTTCCTTCTATTTCTATTTTTTTGAATAGCTTCAAAAAATAGGTATTAACGCTTCTTTAAATGTTTGGTTGAATTCCCTTGGGAAGTCATCTGGCCCTGGACCCTTGTTTCTTGAGAGTTTTAATTACTAATTCAATTTCCTTACAGATTATAGTTCTGTTCAAATTTTCTTTTCTTTTTTTAATGTTTATTTATTTTGAGAGAAAGAGAGAGAAAGGGAGGCAGAGGATCTGAAACAGGCTCTGTGCTGACAGCAGACAGCCTGATGCTGGGCTCCAACTCACAAATTGTGAGATCATGATCTGTGCCAAAGTCAGATGCTTAACTGACTGAGCCTCAAATTTTCTACTTCTTCCTGTTTCAGTTTTGGTAGTTTATGTTTCTAGGAATATGTCCATTTCTTTCAGATTGACAATTTGTTGGCATATTAATTGCTCATACTATTCTTTTATTATTATTTGTATTTCTGCAGTGTTGACTGTAATCCTTGTTCTTTTATTCATCATTTGGGTCCTTTTCCTTTTTGATAAATCTGTCTAGAGGTTTATCAATTCTGTTAATTTTTTCAAAGAACCAGCTCCTGGTTTTGTCGATCTGTTCTAATGTTTTTTTTTTTCTATTTTGATATCATTGATTTGTGCTCTAATCCTCATTATTTCCCTTCTGTTGGTTTTGGGATTTATTTGTTGTTGTTTTTCTAGTTCTTTCAGGTGTAGGGTTAGGTTGTGTATTTGAGACCTTTCTTCCTTCTTTAGAAAGGCCTGGATTGCTGTCTACTTGCCTCAGACTTCCAGAGATTTTGGGCTGTCATGTTTTCATTTTCATCGGCTTCCATCTACTTTTTCATGTCATCTTTAATTTCTTCGTTAACCCATTCATTCTTTTTTTAAAAATGTTTTAAATGTTTATTTATTTTTGAGAGAGAGAGAGAGAGCAGGGGAGGGGCAGAGAGAGAGGGAGACACAGAAGCAGAAGCAGGCTCCAGGCTCTGAGCTGTCAGCACAGAGCCTGATGCGGGGCTCTAACTCACAAACCATGAGCTCATGACCTGAGCCAGAGTCAGAGGCTTAACCGACTGAGCCACCCAGGCGCCCCTAACACACTCATTCTTTAGTAGGATGTTCTTTAACTTCTAAGTATTTGTGGTCTTTTCAAATTTTTTCTTGTGGTTGATTTCAAGTTTCATAGTGTTGTGGTCTGAAAATATGCTATAGATCTTTCTGTACTTGTCGAGGGCTGATTTGTGACCTACTATGTGCTCTGTTCTGATCTGTTGTGGAGAATGTTCCATGTGCACTTGGGAAGAATGTGTATTCTACTTTAGTATGAAATGTTCTGAATATATCTATTAAATCCATCTGGTCCAGTGTGTCATTCAAAGCCATTGTTTTCTTGCTGATTTTCTGCTTAGATGATCTGCACATTGCTATAAGTGGGGTGTTAAAGTCCCATACTATTATAGTATTATTATCAATGAGTTTCTTTATGTTTGGGGAAATTAATTTATATATTTGCATGTTTCATGTTGGGGTCATAAATATTTACAATTTATAGACCTCTTAATTATGATGTAATGCCCTTCTTTATCTCTTGTTACAGGATTTGTTTTAAAATCTAGTTTGTCTGATGAAATATGCCTACTCCAGCTTTGTTTTGATGTCCATTATGTAAATTTTCTCTTTTTAAAATTAAAAAAATTTTTAAATGTTTATATATTTTTGAGAGAGAAAGAGAGACAGAGACAGAGTGCAAGGGTGGGGAGGGGCAGAGAGAGAGAGGGTGACACAGAATCAAAAGCAGGCTTCAGGCTCTCAGCAGTCAGCACAGAGCCTGATGTGGGGCTCCAACCAATGAACTGCAAGATCATAACCTGAGCTGAAGTCAGACTCCTAACTGACTGAGCCACCCAGGGATCCTGTGAAATTTCTATTCTTGTGGTTTTAAAAGTGCTATAACTATTCCATGAATAATTATTGATATTTTCTTCACTTCTGAAAAAGTAATTAAAAGATTGTCAGTTATAGAATTTTATCAAGTTGAAGCCACTTTTAAATTGTTTTTCTTAATATTAAAGTGTCTCTTAACCTTTGTCATAATGTTTAGAAGAACCAAATGACATCTTTTTTTATCTTAGCAATAAAGTTATCCCTTTTAATGTTTCTTTTCTTTTTTTTCCCTAATATAATTTATTCCCAAATTGGCTAACATACAGTGTGTACAGTGTGCTCTTGGTTTCAGGGATAGATTCTTGTGGTTCATCACTTACATCCAACACCCAGTACTCATCCCAACAAGTGCCCTCCTCAGTGCCCATCACCCATGCAGAAGCTAGTAATTAGGGCACCTGGACGGCTCAGTTGGTTAAGTGTCCAACTTCAGCTCAGGTCATGATCTCACAGTTTGTGGGTTCAAACCCCATGTCAGGCTCTGCACTGGTGGTACAGAGTCTGCTTGGGATTTTTTCTTTCTCCCTCTCTCTGCCATTTACCCACTTGTGCTCACTCTGTCTCTCCCAAAATAAATAAATAAACTTAAAAAAAAGAAGCTGGTAATGTTAATAGCTTTCAGATATTCTCAGAAAAATCTCATCTAACTACAGCCACAATTTAAAGCATCAATTTGTGGGGCTCCTGGGTAGCTTAGTCGGTTAAGCGTCTGACTTCAGCTCAGGTCATGATCTCATGGCTCATGGGTTTGAGCCCTTGAGCCCCATGTCAGGCTCTGTGCTGACAGCTCAGAGCCTGGAGCCTGCTTCAGAGTCTGTGTCTCCCTCTCTCTCTGTCCCTCCTTCTGTTCAGAGTCTCTGTCTCTCAAAAAATGAATAAAAACGTTAAAAAAATTTAAAAATGCACAAATCTGCTTTTATCAGTGTGTTAAATTATACATTGTTTCTTGAGGGAAATGTATTTTAAAGGTTAAATAGTTAATGTTCAAGCAAACTTTTATTTATTTATTTATTTTAATGTTTATTTTTGAGAGAGAAAGAGAAACAGAGCGCAAGTGGGGGAGGGGCAGAGAGCGAGAGAGACACAGAATCAGAAGCAGGCTCCAGGCTCTGAGCTGTCAGCACAGAGTCTGACATGCGGCTTGAACCCGTGAACCATGAGATCATGACCTGAGCTGAAGCTGGATGCCTAGCCAACTGAGCCATCCAGGTGCCCCTCAGATATTATTTAATGATTGTGCAAATGAAAATGTTACCTTTTCTACAAATTCTACAACATTGTTTTTTCCTTACAACCTAATCTGATTTTTGCTTTTTTTCTCCAGTTTAAGGCCAATCCTCCTGCTGTGAATTTCAAACTAACTGGAGAGACAGATGGCATATTTCAGATACAGCAAGATGGACTTTTGTATCATAACAAAGCCCTGGACAGAGAAACAAGAGCTGTTCACAAACTCCAGGTGAATTGAAACCAGACAAAGGAATCTAACTCCTACTTCTCTGAGCATCCTTTGTCCTGGAAGTATCACTGGCACCGGCATGTCTTTCACAGGATCCTGTTATGCCTCCCTTGACATTAATGTCATGCTTTGCAAACCTCATTTGTCAATTTTTTTACCAACTACAAAGAGATACACCTTTGGGTATGGCAAAGAGACCCTCTTCCTCAGGCTTTTTAACCAGAGTAACCCAATTTAAATTACCAAGCCCCTCAGAAGACATTACTTGCCCAAGTATGGCCATGCTCAAGCACCTGGATCAAAACCAAGCCAAAACTTCTCTGTGATTTCACTGATATCTTCCTGTGGTTGTTGTGTGGGCTTTGGATCCACAGAGAAGGCAGCATCAGTGGTAGGATGGGCTCCTGTGGGCCTTGTAAGAAGCAGAAGCAACCAATGGTCAGGGGATCTGAATAAAGAGAACTTCTCCCTCTTTGTCCTCCTTACTTTTTCATGGTTTATATCTGAATACATGGGAATGGCAGAGAGCTAATTGTAGAAAAAAATAATAATAATAAGCAAAAGTTCCCTGTCTGGTAAGTTCTATTGGCTTTGCAAGTTGACCACTAAAATACTCTGTAAGAGGACATGGCACTTCCATAGCCTTAAGAGTCAAAGTGTTGTTACTTAACTAACTCCAACTATTTAGAAAAGAAGCATGTCCAGTGTCCATTATACCTTACTGCTAGAAGAACAAAGTCATGATTAGCTGGATTTAACTGATAGGGTCCCTGTTTTAGTAGCTCCCAACATGGGCTTTTATGGGTGTTTTTCACCCCTACAGTCACAAGGCTATTGGATCTTTGAGCTCCAGTTTCCTTCAACTGACTTTTGAATGTGTGATATGAAGTTCAGACTCATCAAGGTGGTTTTCTTTTCCTTTCTACACCAGGTCTCAGCCCTGGATGCTTCTGGAGCTATAGTGGAGGGTCCAGTTCCCATCACCATAGAAGTGAAGGACATCAATGACAACCGGCCCACATTTCTCCAGCTAAAGTATGAAGGCTCAGTAAGACAGAATTCTCGCCCAGGTAAAAGGCAGGAGTCTGGAGATATATATGGAAAGGTAGAAGAATATCAGGCAGAAGGGGCAGATTTGTATGGCTAACCGCTGCAGCTATCACTCATTAAGCACTTCCTGTCATATTTAAATCTCACAACAGTCCTCTAGCAGTTACTTTATTATCTCCATTGCTCTCAGACACAGTATCTCAGCTTTGGCACTATTGACATCTTGGACCTGCTCTTTGTCTTTTTGTCAGGGACTGTCTGTGCACGTTAGGATGTGTAGCAGCATCCCTGCCATCTACTCACAGATGCCGTTAGTAACCCCTCTCCCTAAGCTGTGACAATAAAAATGCCTTCAGACATTGCCAAATGTCACCTGGGGGGCAAAATCACTCCAGCTGAGAACTATGATTCTACAATGAGCTTTAGAACACTTTAGAGCTGGGGCACCTGGGTGGCTCAGTTGGTTGAGCATCTGACCTTGGTTTTGGCTTGGGTAACGAGCTCATGGTTTGCGGGTTCAAGCCCCATGTTGGATTCTGCACTGGCCAGTGCAGGAGCCTACTTGGGATTCTCTCCCTCCCCCTTTCTGTGTGCCCCTTGCCCATTTGCTGTCTGTCTGTCTGTCTGTCTCTCTCAAAATAAATAAACAAACTATATAAAAACTATATAAAAAAAAGAATACCTTAGAGCTCTGGGACACTCAAGAATACTAAAGTGAGCTTACTCTTTTACATTCTCCCAGAAATCTACTTGCTTATGGTCACTGCTGGCTCCCAGGTCTTTTCTTCTCTTACTTGCAACTTCTACTTACAGTCCATCCCTTCACTATGTTTCTACCCTTCATTTACATTAAAGCCCCCCATCAAGGTATAGGTGTGTGCTGCAGGCTTTATTGGAGATTTGGGGAGATGGAGGAGCATTATATCATAATATGAATATGAAGAAAATAAATGTGAATATTAGACTTCTGATTTTTCATAAAGACTCTTGTCCATTTCCACCAGCTCAATGTCAAATTTCCCTTGATGTTACTTAATCTTGTCTCTCTTTCTTCAATGCTCACTTCCGGTAACTCAGGAAGAATATTCCGTACACTTTATTATGTGGAGCAATTTCACTCTCTGTCCCTGAGATCACAACCAAAGACTCATTTATGAATTCTGCTAAATAAGAATCTTCCAAGTCTTACTGTTTCTCTCTTCACCAATGGGGTCTTCTAGGTCAGTGGTTCCCAAACTTCTTGATCTCATGGCTCCTGTGTTCTTTTAAGAATTATTAATAACTCCAAAAGTCTTTTGAATATGTGGGTTGTATCCAGTGATGTGCTAATAAATGTTTAATAGTTTTCTCTCTGAGGGGAGAGCCCTGATCTATAGCGTTTTCCAATTTCTGTGGTATAAATACTCCCACCATGGCTTATTTTAAGCTACCAATGGTGTTAATAATTGGATTACAAAGTTTCTGGAAATTCAACCATTGGCTTTCAAGAGCTGGCTCTAGTACATCACTGATTATCAATATTTACCATATTAGAAATTTTAAAAAAATTAATTCTTCATAAGTAATCATAAACATATTTTAATGAAAATAACTATTTTCAAAAGGAATGATTAAGATAAGAATAGCTTTGCTTTAATCTTTGCACATCTCTTCAATGACTGGATCAATTAACTGAAAACAATTAGATTATCATGTCTTTTTCCATCCATTCTGTTGCCATATGCTGTTTTAGTTTAAGTTTATGAAGAAAAACTGGCCTCACACAGATATGCAATTGGAAAAGGGAGGGGTATTGTAACTGCATTTTCAGATAACTGGATATTCTTTGATACTATACCAGAACTCAACAAGTGCTGGTTTTTTCAAGGCTGGTGACAATGTGAAATATGAAACTATACAAGAGCCCTTTTTTTGATACTCCTTTATGCTAAAATCCATCAAATTATCTTGTGTTTGACTGGATCTTTTACATGTGCATGACTCCATCAAACCTAAAATAATCTCAAAGACCCCTACAAGTCCCTGGACCATACTTCAAGAAACCTCACCCCAGGGGAAGGAAGCAGAGTAAAGATTTATTTCCCCACTGGAATACATTATGGTACCTTCCCCCATCCTATCTCTGTCTCTTACAAGCTAAAAGTGGCTATGGTTGGTTTGGATTTCAATTAACATATTTTTACTCTCTGAATATGTTTTGTTAAACAGGAAAGCCCTTCATGTATGTCAATGCTACAGACCTGGATGACCCAACTACTCCAAATGGTCAGCTTTTTTATGAAATTATCATCCAGCTTCCCAAGATCAACAATGTGATGTACTTTCAGATCAACAACAAAACAGGGGCAATTTCACTTACCCAACAAGGTAGGTCAAGTGATGCCCTCAAAAGACTGTCTGAGTCAGGAAAAGGGATCCAAGTCCGTGTTACCCTTGGAGACATTTCTTTTTCTCTTCTTTCCTATTTCCCACAGGATCTCAGGAATTGGATCCCGTTAAGAATGCTTTCTACAGTCTGGTGGTCTCAGTGAAGGACATGGGAGGCCAGAGTGATCATTCCTTCAGTGACAGCACATCTGTGAATATTGTGGTGAAGGAGAATATTTGGAAAGCACCAGAGCCTGTGGAGATTGTAGAAAACTCAACTGATCCTCATCCCATCAAAATCACTCAGGTAGTGTCCAAGGAATGTCTCTAGACTACAATAACTTTTTAAAAAATTCATTTACTTATTTTTGAGAGAGAGAGAGTGAGTGAGCACAGCCAGGGACAGGCAGAGAGAGAGAGAGAAAGAGAGAGAGAACCAGTGAAGAGCCTGACACCAGGGCTCAAACCCATAAATTGCAAGATCATGACCTGAGCCGAAGTTGGATGCTCAACCAACTGAACCACCCATGTGCCCTTCAAGACAATGAGATAAATGGCCTCACTTTGTAGAGGCCCTCCCTCACGGTCTTCACTGATATACTTATTGGGTACATTTTTACATAGCATAATTATAAAACAAACTAAATAGACAAAGTCTCTGGCCCTGAGTCTCTGGAGTTTATTAGTTTATTATCACGTGTAAACTCTGGACTTTACCAACTTGGATTCTGATACACACACACATACAAGCTTTAAAAGAGAATTGTAGTCACCTTCACCTTCCAAGTAGATACCACTAATGTATATGTACATGATTTGAATAGGAGTTGCAAATATGTTTGAAAGACTGCTGCTTATTTCTTGTGAGAAAATCTCTATCCAATAGACTCATCCCATCATAGACTTAGGGACAGACATAGGACTGGCTAAGAGGAAGAGTTGAGTAGGCAACCTGCGCCTTTGGAGATCACCCTCCTACAACTTCATCTCCTATATGTACCTCTACTCTTCATTCAAATGTCCCCCCTCTTCCCTCCTCTGTGGCTGGTGCTCTTACCCTTGATCCCCTCCTACCTTAGATATGGGAAATCCACCCCTAGGGCCACCCAGATATGATCTTTACTGGAAGATCAGGGGGTTCCTTGACATGAAAACTGTGGGTTAGTGAAAGAGCACTGGATTTAGAAGCAGATGATGAAAACTGACATACTTGCTCCATTATTTTAATGATTGATCATGAATAACCCATTTAACTCTTCTGAGCCACAGCTTCTCTTCAATAAAATGGGGATAACAATACCTCTCTTGTTGTTGTGAAGAGTAACTCAGTGTTAGTATTTGTGAACGTGAATAAAAGGTATTAATGTTATGCGTCTCAGTCTGTAGTTCCCCTAAGATTTTTTTCTGAATGATGTTGTTAAGGGGTCCTGGAATGGCCCATCCCATCATATCTATTGTCAATTTATTTTTTAAATGTTTTATTTATTTCTGAGAGAGAGAGAGAGAGTGAACAGGGGAGGGTCAGAGAGAGAGGGAGACAAAGAATCTGAAACAGGCTCCAGGCTCTGAGCTGGGTGTCAGCACAGAGCCAGACATGGATCTCGAACCCACGAACCATGAGATCATGACCTGAGCTGAAGTCGGATGCTTAACTGACTGAGCCACCCAGGTGCCCTATATCTATTGTCAATCTTAAAAGGATTTTTATTTATTGAAATATTGAATTAATGAACTTCACCTTTAGGGAAAAAAAAAGAATGAAAGCAAGAGATAATTCTGCTTTACTAGCTAAGAAAATGTGTCAGGATTCACAGCCATGCAAATTTCAGACTTGAGGTCTTTACTAAAGTCTTATTTATTATTTAGGTTATCCCTATAAGGACTTAGAAATGCTGAAAAGAGCATCCATGCTAATTTGTTCTCAGGGCTGTCAAAGTAAAGAAATTAGAGGTGCTATACCTGAAATTCAGGCCTGGGGAAAGTGCTTTGTGTATCTTGAGACCCAGGAGGAAGAGGAGAGGGAACAGCTCAAGAGAAAAGAAGTCAACTGAATTTTTAGGACACAAGGGGACCTCTCTTAGAACCAAGAACATGGTCTTTGGCTTGACAAGATGGTAGTGTTTAAATAGCAAACAAGGGGCTAGGGTGGTTCCTTGATACCCTTCCCAAGCTGGTCTGAGAGAATAGTTTAGTCTGGAAGTTTCATATAACCGTAGGAGCATGGGCAAGTCACTTAAACCTCGTGCCCTAGTTTCCTTATTTATAAAATGGGTATAACAATAGTTTCTACCTCTCCACCTCCTTGAGCTCTTTGAGAATTTAATGAAATAGTACATAAGAGTGTTTAGAATTGTGTCTAGCATGTGGCAAACCCTCAGTGGGTGTTGTTATTGGTATTAGAATGTCAGAGAAACGAGGTTCTGTCTCTAGCCAGCTGACTGATCTTACCATTGAGTTAATTTTTTTTGCCAAGTTGTTTATGAACAACTCTAGGAGTTAGCAATTATTCTTATCTTTGGAGTCTTTAAGACTAAATATTTAGGGGAGGAAGGCACTTTATTTATGTACTATTTGTCTTGCTTAGATAATGGCATGGAGAAGGGTTTAGAGTGTCTCCTATTGTTATCACCATCTCCATTGTTGAGTTTTAGAAGCTTGTCATATGTCACGGATTTGTTCTCAGATGGTACCAGCTGCAAACTACATTTTGTTTCTTAAACTGATGTTTCATGGATTTGAAGTCTACGTGGTCAGTCTCAAAAGAAAAACCCACAAATTCTTTAAAGATTCACAAAGAACTGCTTTAGAGAAGAAAAACACCCCTATATGCTTATGCTGAGCAATATAACTTGGTAAAAAAAGAAAAAACATGCTTAATTTTGGTTGAATATGAAATAGTTCACAGACATAAAAACAAGATAGTAAGAGATTTCAAACTGAATACCAGAAAATTGTTTATCCATTTCTAATTCTCTTGGTCCTGATATATCATTCCTCTCCATTCACTTTGGGTCCTGTAGGTGCAGTGGAATGAGCCAGGTGCACACTACCTCTTAGTTGAAAAGGAAAAGATGCCAAGTTTTCCATTTTCAATTGACCAAGAAGGAAGTATTTATGTGACTCGGCCCTTGGACCGTGAAGAAAAGGATTCGGTGAGTCTGGGAGGAGTTTCTGTGCCTCCGGACAACTAAGTGCAGGATCTGTTTTACCTAAAAACAACCACAACAACATCACCCCCAAACTGTGTTCTGAACTCCAGTATATTATTTCTCTCAAAGACACGAGAGCATGGCCACACCAACTCATTTCACTTTTTCTTGTTTCCCAGTTCTAAGTAAACTGAAAATAAAGGGGGAAATTAAATAGCTGTTTTCTCTGCCTTTTAAAGGGGATGATGGAGGAGTCCTGTCTTAACACTGATCTTCCTGTTGTAGTATGTTTTTCATGCCCTGGCAAAGGATGAGACTGGAACACCACTTGCCCGCTCACTGCAAATTCATGTGAAAGTTAAAGACATTAATGATAATCCACCTACATGTCCATCTGCGGTGACTGTGTTTGAGGTCCAGGAGAATGAAAATATGGGTAAGAAATGAGAGCTGTTCCAAGCTGTGTAACTGTCCACCATATGTTACCTCTGTTATCCTTTTCTCCTTTCTACCAGGTGATGGGTGGGCAGGTATGCCTGGTCGCGGGTCTGTTGCCCATGTCTAGCACAGCATAGATATTGAATGCACTTTGGACTCACGTAGGTGCAGTATTTTGGCTCAAACAATATGTGGGTGGTGTTCTTATATTGGAGCTTTTGTAACTACTACCACCACTACTACCACTATTACTACCACTGCTGCTGCTACTACTACTACTATTACTACATTGTTACCACTACCACTATTATGATGACCACTATGTATACCAGTATCCTGTATACATACGTTAGGTTATCTCATTTACAAGGTTTTTCCATACGTTCTTATTTGTCCTTCTAACAAGCAGAGAAAATCTCATCAGATTTGCTAAATAATTTAAATAATCATTTACATCTGATGTTAGATACCCTACAATAAGTAAGCACTACAAATGGAAGTTGACTTTTGACCCTTGATTCTCCCTTTCTAGGAATCAAATAATAGTTCAGGATGCTGGTAGATGAAGTTCAAGTCCTTCCTGTTTTTTCCTTTTGTTCTTGATTTGCTTTGTTTCTTTTCACTGTGTTGAATGAGAGCTTTAGTTTTGTACAGGGGACAACCACTATAAGAACATTATGATTTCTAGGAGCTTTTTTTTTTTAAAGTTTATTTATTTTGAGAGAGAAATAGAGAGAGCACATGCACGGGAAGTGCAGAGAGAGAGGAGAGAGAATCTCAAGCAGGCTCCCCACTGTCAGCATGGAGCCTGATTTGGGGTTCGAACTCACAAACCACAAGATCATGATCTGAGCTGAAACCAAGAGTTGGATGCTTAACCTACTGAGCTCCCCAGGTACTCCTGATTTCTGGGAGTTTTAGAACTTCCCTGGATTTGGGACAACTCTTGTCTGCTACCCCATGATAACGAGCCCATTGATTGAACAGGCTGGCATTTCTTGAAATATTTTTATCTGTTGTTTCGTGCAAGATTAGCAGTCTCTTATGACTGCTACTCCTAGGGCTTTGCTGTCCTTGTAGGCAGATCCTCCCATACCTTGTGGACCTCCTCATCATTTTCTTTTGATCTCTCTACTCTTCTTGCTACACATTTTTGACACAATGAGTGCCGTACTGGCAGCTTGATGGGCATTGCTTCTGTGGCTTATTTGTTCAATACTCATGGGTGTTTTTTTTTTCCCTTGCTGTCAGGAGTTCTAAATAGGTTACCTATTGTCCCTGTGTTCTGCCCAGGTCCTTTCTTTTTCATTTATTCTAATTCTTGCTGTAGCAGGAAGGGTTAAGTGACAGCTCAAAGGATTTTAGTTTATTATATGGAAGAATCTTCCAACAGTGACAGCTGTGTAAGAATGAAATATATGACAATAGTCAAGAAATACTATGGCATCACCCTTTTTGAAAACCTCCCAAATTTCTGGTCTGTGATGCTGAATGAAGCACTTTCCAGATGATCACTCAAATCTCTTTGTTTAGGGCCCAATATTTAGTGTATTAGTTGTCTATTGCTACATAACAAATGGCCCCCAAACTTCAGTTTCAAACAAATATTTATTATATCACAGTTTCTGTTAGTCAAGGATCAGAGTGTAGCTCAGTTGGGCACCTTTGATTCAGAGGGAAAGCTTGGGAGTGAGGGGCCAGGAGAGCTTGATAAATGGTGAGCCAGATGAAAGTCAGTACTTTTATAATCTAATCTCTGAAGTGAATTCCATCACTTTACCATATTCCATTCATTAGAAATGAGTCACCAGGCCCAGCCCACACTCAAGAGGTGGGGGTTACACCAGGGCATCAATATGGCAGGGATCCTTGGGAATCCAGTTTTAAAATCTGCCTACCTTTGGGAAGAGGATAGCACTAGTTTTCTGACACTGGTGAGGAACTCATTGTTGGTAGAATAAATTGTTCAGGGGCCCAGGAGGCTATCTGCTTCTCTAAAGGTGAGAATTTATTTTATAGTTATATTTAATGAAGGGTCAAATGGTAGATACAATGGACCAGAAATTCTTATAAATCAACATAGATTGAGTCTATTCTTTCTATTTATCCTAAATAAAGATTTAATATCTTTTGTGTCTTCTATTAGCCAAAATCTTGTAGCACTCATGTCCCCAAGTTTTAGCAATGCCAATATTAATTCTGAAATCCCACTTGTTACCAAGTTCTGTGTGCTCATACAGGAATTTTCACTTCTCGTAAAAGCCCCACCTCCCTAAAGCATTTCTGAGTGCCCCCAAGAGATGCTGTATACACCTCTGAATCAATTTGCCACCACTTGTTCCTAGCTTTTGTCACTCAGAGACATGGCTCTCCTTTTACTTCTGGCTCACCTGAAACGCTCTCTGCTCCCACTGAGTAGCACCCTCTACTGGGATTTCCCCAGTCACTGATGTCAAGAGTCCTCATGGTGCCTCTGACAGCTGGAATTTTCCTGTGAGGTGGGAGAAGAACAGTGTCCTCTGTGTTACACTTACTTGCTAAGAGGAAAAGTCCAAGTCAGGGCTGCTCAGACCACAGAGAATCACAGAATTTAGTAAGATATCTTTCATTCCAACATGCATATTTTAAAGGCCAGATGTATGCCACAAAGGTGACTTTGTTTTAATGGATTCAGAAATAGCAGCTACTAAAATATTTGCCAGTGCCCTGTTGATCACAAGACCCCCTCCCCAGCCCACAAGACATGTCTTCATGGGTCTGGCTCCATTGTAGACATAACATGCATACTTATCTACCCTCCCTGTCAAAAACAATCTCCAAATTTCCATGTCAGTCAGTCAATGCAAATTGATTGGGGAAGGGGTGAAACTTAACTCCACAAGTTGGATATATTCAAATTTTAGCCCCAAAGTAGAACTTTTACTGCATGTTGAGAAACCCCAGTCCTCATTTCACAGAGCAAGATGATCCAGATGCTATTAGAACTCACTCAGAACTAGAGGGAGCAGTGAGTCATAGTCTCTGACTTCTGGAACTCCCTGGACCGAAACACTCACCAGAATAAAATACATGGGGCTATAAACTGCAGCAAGGTGGGGGATGTGTGCCTGTTCTTTGCCCTGTGTTATCTCTGGGGTGGGGTCAGTCTCTGCAACCATTGCATAAAGTTGCTTAGAAGCAAGCCACTGTTGGCTTATCCCTGCTTGGTTATAGCATTATTCTTGTCTATTAGTGTCCAAGGAGGTCTGTAACAAATGACCACAAAGTTGGTGCCTTCGAACAACAGAAATGTATTCTCTCATAGTTCTGGGGACCAGAAGTCTAAAATCAAGATGCCAGCTAAGAGAGCATTCTTCCTTGCCTCTTCTAGCTTCTGGTGGCTCTTGGCACTCCTTGGTGGCTTATGGCATAACTCTAGTCTCTGCATCCTCCTTCACGTGACCACCTCCTCCGTGTGTGTCTTGTGTCTTGTCTTCTAGTAAGAACCGCAATCACTAGATTTAGCCTACTCTAAATTCAGGATGACTTCATCTCAAGATCCTTAACTAATTACATCTGTAAAGACTCTATTTCCAAATAAGGCCACATTTGAGGTTTCAGATGGACATGAATTTTTGTAGGACACTATTTGTTCCGGGCTGAATTGTGTCCCCCCTAAAATGCATATGGTGAAATCCTCAGTATCTCAAAGGGGAACTATTATTTAGAACTAGGTTCTTTAAGGAGGTAATTAAGTTAAACTGCTGCCATTAGTGTGGGCCTTAATGTAACACAACTGGTATCCTTCTAAGAAGAGAAAATCTGGACTTAGACATGTACAGAGGAATGGCCATGTGAAGACATTGGAAGATGGCCATCTAGAAACCAAGGAGAGAAGTCTTAGAAGAAACCAACCCTGCCAACACTTTGATATTAGACCTTTAGCCTTCAGAAGCTGTGAGAAAATAAAGTTCTGTTGCTAAATCTACCCAGTCTGTGGTACTTTGTTATGCCGGCCCTGCCAGACTAATATACTGCTCAACATCCTACACTATGGAAAGAGTGAGAAGAACCAAATAAACCTAAGAACTTTAGTCTGCTACTCAAGTTATTTATAGCACTTTCTAGGAACCTATTTATCCAGTGAAACCATTTTTAACATAGTAGATTAAATAGAGTCTGTAATGGATGGATTCCCTTTATTCCTTTTCCACAGGTAGCAATATTGGGACTTTTATTGCCCATGACATGGATGAAGAAAATACTCCCAACAGTGTTTTAAGGTACAGAATTGCGGATCAAATTCCCAAAATTTCCATGGGAGAACTCTTCCTGATGGATTCCTACTTGGGAGTGGTCCAGTTAGCTGGGCAGTTCTTGAAGAAGCAAGATACTCCACAATACAACTTGACAATAGAGGTGTCTGACAAAGGTTAGTATCATGTTCACTGCCAAGAGTGAAAATATTGTTTTCCTTCTAGTTATGATTTGTTAGCCTGCTCTAATGCCTGCGTGTATTACAGGATGCCATTTGAGAGTTCTTCCTTCCTTTGTAAAGCACACATAGAGCATAAAGGCAGTTGGTCCAACATGATAAAGGCCAGAGTTACAGTTCAGGCATCAGAACCATCAGATCACAATACAAACCTAACACTGAATGAAGGAGAGAAGGAAAGAAGGCTGGTGGGAGTACCATAGATCATTAAGAGAAAAAAAGAAAGACAGACAGACAGAAAGAAAGAGAGAGAGAGAGAAAGAGAGAGAGAGAGAAAGAAAAAAAAAGAGGAAGAAAGAAAGAAAGAAAGAAAGAAAGAAAGAAAGAAAGAAAGAAAGGGAAAGAAAGAAAGAAAAGTTGGCCAAGGTCAAAGAAAGAAAGAAAGAAAGAAAGAAAGAAAGAAAGAAAGAAAGGGAAAGAAAGAAAGAACAGTTGGCCAAGGTCATTGGGAAATCCAAGGTTAGCCATCAAAGGAGTGTATGATCTCCTTGAACATGCCTGCCTTGGCCTGCCTGCCTTGCTCAGTCTCTGGCTGGGGCAGCCTATGGGAAGGGAGGCCCCACTGCCACCGTGCTGATGGATTTCAGAGCACAGCCAGAGGGCCGTAGTCAGTTAAGTTCTCTGTTGTTGGAAGTCAGCCAGGCATGTTCTCCTGGCTGCTGTGGTCACGAACCAGCCTATTAATTGTATTTTCCGCTTCTCCCTTTCATACTCCAAGGGCTCTACTGTATGAAAGTTGGGGAGAAATGCATTTTTGGGGAAATTCTATCTTCTATCAGCTTCCAGTTAGCTATTTGATATCATCAGGAGACACTGTTCCTTACTCCCATACAATTTCAAAGCAAGTGGTTCTTAATCTTTGGTGGCTCCAAGACTCTTTGAAACTCTGATGAAAACTGTGCACTCTCAGAAATGCACACATTTTCAGACAAGTGTGCACATACATACAAAACACATGTATTCAGAGCCAGATTTATTTCAGGGGCACACACACTCCTAGGTTAAGAATCTTTCTTTGAGTCAATGAGCACCGAATCTCACATGACCAAATAGTTCAGTAACTGTTATGCTATGAGTCATAGATTATATAGGTACAGAGAAGAAGAGGGCATCATTTCACACCAATATTCACCTTTCCCCCTTTATATGGATGTCGAATATGAAAACAATTAGGGTTTAACAGACCCCTAATACGGACTTTTTTGGAAGTTAGTAATCTGGCAAATATTGATGGCCTGATATATATCTAGCATTATGTTAAGAGGTACAACAGAAGTGAGTATAATAAATCATCCCTTCCTATGATGAATTAACAGTGTCACACCATTAGCCATCCAGTCTTTCAGCAAACAGTTATTGAACACTCACCTTGCATAAGATACCATTCAAGGTATTGAAGATACACAGGTGAATAAGACACAGAGTCTGTCTTCAAGGGGCATTTCATGATAAAGGAGCTGGACATGTGGATAAATAAATTACAAGAATCGTGTACAAGGTAGCCCATGAAGGAAATGAGTGACTCAGTGGAGGGAGAGGGCAGGTAAGGCTTTCTGGAAGAGGTCTCATGGAGCTGAGTTTTGAAGGATGGATATGACAAGTTATAAGATAGTGCAAGGCTTATAGAGGAGATGAAATTCCATCTGCAAATGCGTTGAGACCTGAAGCAATTTGAGGCATTAAGAGCATAAGGTGGAAATCAGATTATAAATTGTCTATGTTCATGAGTACACCTATAGAAAATATGGGCCAGATCATAAAATATTTATACATAAATATATGTGTGTGTGTATGTGTGTTGTTGGAATGAAACATTCAATTGTACACTATTATAGCCTAGAGACTAGGTTTAATTAACATAGTTTTACATAAAACCCAGGGCCAGGAACCCCACTGCTGGCCCAAGTAAGGCTTGTGCAGAGCAAGGAGCCAACGAGTTCAGGTCCTGAGACCACCCCTCCCCCCATCCTACCTGCCCCCCCCCCGCCCAATGTTAGCCATTCTTGTTGTCTGCAAATAATTTGGGACTGACCCCAGCTTTCATCAGCATCCATTACTGTAATTCGATTGTTATTACGTCACAAGCCTGGCCTCATATCTGGTGCTTTGAACACCGTTTATTCCTGAGTGTATTTGTCAGGACCCTAGCAGCAAACAGCTCCTCAAAAGGAATAATCCAGAAGAGTTTGAAGAAGGGGTTATTTGTAAAGGTTGAAAGCAAGGTTAAGGGAAACCAGTGGGAGGTGTGAAGCACAATAGATAGCATGCCTTCCAAGATGATGGGGTGGGAAAGGGTGAGAGGAGGGAGCATTCCTGGAAGGGAAAAGTCCTGTACCTGTGCCTATAGAAGAGGCTGCTGGCAAAGGGGAACTGCCCCAGATTTCTCCTGCCCCTCCTCCCAACTCCTATCAGTGCTGCCATTGGCAGAACCAGGGTGTCCACCACGTAGTTAGTTCCCGAGGTCAGCCTCCCGGGGCACAGAGCAGGGTGAAAGGTGGAGAGCAGACAGAGAGGGCAAAGGGAGCATGTGGAGTTGAATTCTGGCTCAGCCACTAGTTAGCGTGTGACCTTGGTCAGCTTATCTAACTTCTGTATCCTGTGGCATCCTCATTCATGAACTAAATGAGAATGGTGATAGTACCTACGTCACAAAATTAGTCTGAAGATGAAATGAGTAATGCTGGTAAAGCACTGAAACAGTGCCTGGTACACAGAAGGTGCTGACGATTTGTGTTACGATAAGAACCTCGGTTCTGTTGTCATTGACTATTTATTTATTCATTCATTCATTCACTTATTCATTCATCCATTCACTTATATTTTAGAGAGAGAGAGAAGAGAATGCAAGTTGGGTAGAGGGGCAGAGAGAGAGAAAGAACCCCAAGCAGGCTCCACACTCAGTGCAGAGCCTGACACGTGGCTCGATCCCATGACCCTGGGATCACGACTTGATCCAAAGTCAAGAGTTGGATGTTCAACTGACTGAGCCATCCAGGTGCCCAGTTATCAACATTTTATAGAGAAACTGAGGCACAGAGACCTTGAGCGACACACCCCAAACTCTTACACATTTGATAAGTGACAGAGTCAGATTTTAACAGTGGAACTCCAGAGCCCTGAGTCTTAACTATCATACAACATGGTACGTCATGGCTTAGAGCCATGGTGACCCCAGCAAAGAACCTGTCACATTGTTTCTCATTCTGGACATTTCCCTCGGCACCCCATCCTCATCTGTATTCTGTGCTCATCTTGGACCTAGGTTAAACCTGCTCCCTCTGACCAGATCTTTGAATAGTCAAGCCCACCCCTCAAAGCCTGTGTAGTTTCCCCAGGGTTTCATGAGCTACCTCTGACCCCCTCTTGCCTCCTACAGGCTGGGTAGTCAGGCTGTTTGAAGAGGGCTAACTGTACTATTTCCTCCCTCATTTGGAGGAAAAGGAACAGGCACCCAACTCTCCCACCATAGAGGACAGAGGAGAAGCAGGATGGTAAGTACTGGAAGTGTTCAATGAAGGAAATACAGCTAGCTGGCTGGGCTACTCAGGGAAGGCTTTCCAGAAAGATAGCTTTGCACTAGGCTTTGAAGTCTACATACATTTCACTAGTTAAAAAAGAGAGGTTGCTTCACAGGAAAAAAACCCAACCTGTCTTCATCAGGACAAGCCTTACCCAGAAGGGGGCATTTTGGGTCAGGGCGAAGCCCAGAGGACCTTTTTCCAGGGCTTTCTCCAGCCTCCTCCTGGTGGGTACAGGTGGGGATCAGAGAATCCTGTTTCCCTAAAAACTGCATGTCAGTAGCAGAATTCTGGCTGTGGCTGTCACTTCACTTGACAATGTTTTTCTTGCAGATTTCTAATTTTAATGGATGGTTTCTAATGAAAAAAAATTTTTTTGTCATATGACTTTGCCTTTCAGATTTCAAAACCCTCTGTCATGTAGAGATCAATGTTATTGATATCAATGATCAGATCCCCATCTTTGAAAAATCAGATGTGAGTATTTTTCATCTGTTTTTTCTTTACTTGGTTCATATTACTTGACCCTTACTTCTGCGATAAAGGCACTGTAAATACTTGGGAAAAATTCCAACCTTTAAAGGCAGCTTTAGTCAGTACACTGGTAACAAACCAGACACCATCTTCAGTGGAAATCTTCAGGGAACAATAGCATTCACTGTTATAGTATCTGGGAACATCTGTTTATAAACTTCTACCAATGGCTCATTTATTCCAAGGGCTTGCTTAAAAGCTGCAACTGCAATCTTTGTCAAATGGAATGGAGTTGAATGGCTACTTGAAGTTTGTCATTATATATTTGTGACAATAAATGGACAAATAAAATGCTCAAACCAGCATTTTAGTCAAAAATTTGATGTTTGGAATATTGACACCTTCCACTCCTTTTGCAATGATTAGGTAAGAGAAAGGAGAAGAAAAACTAACCTCTCGGTTAAGCCCAAGAAGGACGTGCTTAAGACATTTCCAAGAATTAGGAAAATTGGGCAAAAAGAGCATGACTAAAAGGATCACTGGAGAGCATCAAGAAAAATATTTCATGTGTTTTGACATGGGCTTTAAACTTGGGGGTGGTTTTACCACTGCTTTCCACAAAAGGGATATCTCTCTTGCTTCTAGAGCAGAGGGAAACCCATTTGACTAGATTGTTAGGTCATGGTTGAAGTCAGTTATGGGATAGCCCAGAGCCCTGTGATGATGATCATAAATCAAAATAGGGACAAAGCTGTGACAAAGAAAAGGAATTGATTTATGAGAGGGTTTGGGGCCGCAAGAGGTGTGGCTGAATATAACATGTAGCGGGCACTGGGGCTACACAAACATGAGGGAAAGAGCCCATTCCTTCTCAGTCTCCAAGAGCCCTTCCTTGTGTTGTGGTTTCCTTCTGGTCCATCTAGACAGTGGTTTCACACTGAGGATAATAACACCCTGCTTTGAGAGTTAGAAATGCAAACTGGGCTCTCAAGAGAGTGAGTGGGCTTCTGTCATTGCCCCAGGCCTCCCCCTGGGCCCTGCCTATTACCGTCTTTAAGATCATGACACCGAGAGAGAAGATCGGGGGATATTCAGTGGAGATGGTCTAAGCTAGTGAGTAAGAACACAGACTTTGGAACTGGACACACATGGGCTTGAGTCCTAATTCTGTGACTCACTAGCTGTGTGCTCTTGGGTAGGGTTTACCCTTCTAATCCTTTGTTTTTCTGTCACATGGACATGATGATATAGCTACTCAGTAATGTGTTTTATTGCTTATCTTTATTGAGTACTTACCATGTGCCAGGCATTCAGGGGGGTTACATGCTTTATCTCTCTCAATCCCCACAGCAAACAGGAAGTAGGTTCTATTACTATTATTTCCATTAAACAGATGATCAACTGAGACTTAAGGAAATTAGGTGACCTGCTTCCAGTCACCTGGCTACTAAGTGACAAGCCTAGGATTCATCCCCAGGCTGTTTGACTCCAAAGTTCAGGCTCTTAACCTCTATCCATTGGTGGATATATTATACATATACATAATATATTAACATATTAACTAAAATAATATATGTACAGTGCCTGCCACAATTTAGGTACTTAATACATAGAAGTAGCTACTTATTTATATGATCACTAGTATAATAATTGCAGTTAGTAAATATATTGCATGTAGGAAGAGCAGTGTATTTTAGAGTCCTACTAGTAGCTCGAGACTTGTTTCTTGGTGCCATGTGTATCAGTCTACAAGTATGACTGAAGGCAGAATCAACTGCACCATGTTTATCAGTAGGAAAACATGCTTGGTAAGTATTGATACGAACTATGATACGTGTTCATTGTGAAACCAAAGAGACAAAATTGCCCTTTGGCAATTCTGCTTGATGACAGTGGACATTCTCACTTCCTTCTCCTGGTTTTTTTTCTTTTTCCTTTTTTTCTTTTTTTGTTAGTATGGAAACCTGACTCTTGCTGAAGACACAGCCGTTGGGTCCACCATCTTAACCATCCGGGCCACAGACGCTGATGAGCCATTTACTGGGAGTTCTAAAATCCTGTATCGTATCACACAGGGAGACAATGAGAGGCGACTGGGGATTGATACAGATCCCCAAACCAATGTTGGATATGTCATAATTAAAAAGGTAAATAGCCCCTTTAACTGAATTTTTCTTTTTGAGAAATCAAGTTACTTAGGAGGGTGCAAAGATCTATGAGCAGAGGTAATGGGTCAGCAGTGACCTTGCAGGTGTAGTGAGGGACTCCTAGAGCGCTAAGTCATTCTCATCCACCTGAAAGACAGAAGGCCAAGATTCTAGTTCTGCGTCTGTCACTAACTCTGCAAGTAACCTTTGTGGAGGGAGGTAGGGTTGCCATATAAAACACAGGTGAAACAATATTTTAGAGTAAGGATTTTCCATGCAATATTTGGGACATGGTCATACTAAAAAAAAAAAGTTTGTTGTTTACCTGATATTTGAATTTAACTAGGTATTCTATATGTTTATTTGTTAAATCTTGGGAGTGGGAGGTTTTGCTTAGGGCTTTACTTTGCAAGTGTGGGGTATTAGACTGGATGAGCCCTATGAGCCCTTTAGGCTGTAGACCCTCTATTCTAATATGTCAGCCATAGATTCCTCTTTTATAATGACTGGAAATTGGTAGATCTTCTTTCAAGGTTTAATAGACAAGTTTATCCCTTCCTCCTATCCTTCCTGCCAACCCCCTATTTTCATCTTTTATGGTATTGCTAACCTCACTGGCTTTCACTTTATCTTACCTTCTATAAGGACAGGGAAGTCTAGTGCCAAAGTCTAGATTAGTATGGTACCTGCTTCTTTGTACAGGATCTTCCCATCCCTTGCTCATTCTACTCCCATCCCGCACCTGACCATTTTCTCCATGGCTGACTCATCTATGCTTTAGAGCATGTAAATGGTTTACCAGATGACTCAATAGGAAGCAGTACTCAGTGTCATCCAGTATAATTGGAATGAAAAGGGATCAGAGTTACAGCAATAGTGACTCTGTAGGTGTGGTTGAGTGTTGAAAATTTGCAGTGTAGTGTGCTCGAGGCTGCAAAAAACGATGCTAGAGGAAAGTTTTGGGGTAGCATAAAGGAAAGCTGAAGAGGAAGACAAAATAGAATAATGTCACAGAAAATGGATAGAAGCACAGGGAGGAAGGTGCTAGCGTTGAAGGGAGCCTTGGGGCAGAGTGTCAGGATTCTGATCCTATGATTACCATGTACTTCAGTTCTGACAAAGGGCCTCATTGGGCTCGAGCTCAAGGTTTGTGTTTGGACCAACTCAAGCCATTAGCATCCTGTGTCAGTCTGACATTCGGAAAAGGTGATGTTATAACTCCCCCACTTCTTCATGGCTGTCTTTGTGGAGAAGAACTACAGAAGGAGCAGGTAAATGAAAGGACGGTTTTTAGAGTTAGCAGTGAGTGCTTCAGGAAGCACGCTGACAGGGACAAACAGCTCCCGGTTTGTCCAGGACCAGAGCTCTCTAGGGATCTATGAGAAGCTAGAGGCCTGTTCATCTCAGTACCAATGATTTCCACATGTCAACATATCTTTGTGATGGCTTGTTGTGAACCAGTTTAAGCTAATTTGACCACTTGTGGCTATTGCGCACCTTTAGATATTGGTGACCGTGGATGATGAGTAGCTGGGCACCTTCAGATGTTGGTGACCGTGGGTGCGAGCTGTGAGTATCCTCACAGCCTTGGCGTGAGGAGATATGTTACAAGTGAGCAGGCCTCTGACCCAAATCTTTTTCACATCCTTATTGTGTTTGTGGTTGTATTCCACGTGTCTGGAATGTTACATGGTGTGTAGTAGAGTTTGATTAATATTGGTTGACTAGATAAATAGCTGAATTCTGCACCATATACAATTATTAACAAGCAGGCACAAAAAGAATCATCCAACTTGAGCTTTAGTCCTGTGAAGTCCCAGCTCTCAGTCCCTCAGGCACTGCAATGACTGTATTCTCTGACTGTTCAAAGAAAGGAGATCCTAAACAGAACTGGAGTTCTAGAACTCTGAAGGGTATAGCCTGCTAGATTAGCTAGATGCTCACACTCTTGTTCATGTGATGGCTGAGAGATTATACCATATCTTAAACCAACCTGTGTGTATTACCACTAATATCACCACATCTCTTTGTAAGATCATGCTGCCAATTAATGAACTTTCTAGTGCTGCTTGAGATAGTTGTGGCTCAAGGCCTGCAGTAGTTGGAGTGTGGATCTCTAAGATCTTTTAAATGCTAAGCAACAACTCACCCTAAGGTGTAGATTCTTGATTAGGATACACCAAATGTTAGCCAATAGCCCTTAGGATATATGTATTCACTATGACAGATATACTGTTCTTAGTGTTTTAAATAAATTATACTCAGTATTGTGGCTGCTTGTATATGTCTTAGGCTTCTAATTCTGTATCCATTAAGCTGCTAGGGGAGTACCATTGCTTTTAAACCATTGTGTCAATCATTTTTTAATGTTTAAAACTAGTTAAAAAGTTATGGTAAAGAATACATAGCATGAAGTCTATCCTTTAAAATTTTATAGTGTACCTTACCTGTATGCACACTGTTGTATATATAACATATCTCTAGATCTCTTTCATCTAACATAAATGAAACTCTGCATTCCTTGAACAGGAGCTCCCCATCTCCCCAACCCTCCAGCTCCTGGAAACCACCATTTTACTTTCCATTTCTGTAAGTTTGACTATTCCAGGTAGCTCCTTTAAGTGAAATTATATAGTATTTGTCCTTCTGTTACTGGCTTACTTCCCTTAGCTTAATGTCCTCAAGGTTCTTCCATGCTGAAGCATATGACAGGATTTTCTTCTTTTTTGAAAGGTTGCATAATTTTCCATTATATGTATATACCACATTTTCTTTATCCATTCACCAGTCAACATTTTGGTTGTGTCTACAACTTAGGTAGTGTGACTGATGCTGCCATGATCATGGGAGTGCAAATTTCCTGTTTTCAGTTCTTTTTCTTTTCTAGTTTTTATTTATTTTGGAGACAGAGAGAGACAGAGCATGAGCAGGGGAGGGGCAGAGAGAGAGGGAGACACAGAATCTGAAACAGACTCCAGGCTCTGAGCTGCCTGTACAGAACCTGATGAGGGGCTCGAACCCACGAATCGTGAGAGCATGACCTGAGCTGAAGTTTGACCCTTAACCGACTGAGCCACTCAGGCACCCCTCCTGGTTTCAGTTCTTTTGGGTAAATGTCCAGAACTGAATTGCTGTATTATATAGCTATTCTAGTTTTAAGTTTTTGAGGAACCTCCATGCTATTTTCCATAGCAGTTGTACCATTTTAATTCCCACCAACAGTGTATGAGGGTTCTAATTTCTCCACATCCTCACCAACACTTGTTACATTCTTTTTTTTTAAAGTGTTTAAACGTCTTATTTAGTTTTGAGAGACAGAGAGACAGAGTACAACAAGGGAGAGGCAGAGAGAGAGGGAGACACAGAATTCAAAGCAGGCTTCAGGCTCTGAGCTGTCAGCCCAGAGCCTGACACGGGGCTTGAACTCACGAACCATGAGATCACGATCTGAGCCAAAGTCGGACACTTAACTGACTGAGCCACCCTGGCGCCCCTTGTTATTTTCTTTTCTTAAATTTTACAATACCCATACTAACAGATGTGGTTTTGATTTGCATTTCCTTGATGATTCGTGATGTTGACCATTCTTTAATTATACCTGTTGGCAGCTATATATTTTCTTTGGAGAAATGTATATATTTTAAGTTCTTTGGCTGTTTCTAAATCAGGTTATTTTTATTAAAAATTTTTTTTGCTATTGAACTGCAGAAGTTTCTTCTTACATGATGCATATAACGTCTCATCAGATATACAATTTGTAAAGTCTTTTCTTGTATTCTGTGGGTTGCCTTTTCTTGCTGCTGCTGATTTCCTTTGCTCTGCAGAAGCTGTTCAGTTTGATGTAGTCCCACTGGTGTATTTTTGCTTTTACTGCCTGTGCTTTTGGTGTCATATCAGGAAACTAAGTTTCTTAATCACATTTCTATCAGCAACTGTTCGTCTGAATGGCAAATGTGCTAACTGCAGACAGAATTCACCGAGGAGCCCACACTGCCCAACTGTGGTCAATTTCTCTTACTGAAGCACTTCTGTATACCTTCTCCTCAGTGTCTCACACTGAGACTCCAGCGGACACAGAACTCAGCTCCACTGTATGGATGAGGTTCAGGCCCCCCAGGGATGGTGGAGCTGGGAACTCGACCCCCAACCTCGGGCTCCTCTAACGAAATGGTTTCTGTTGAGACCTGGTATTGCCACTTACTAACTCTGTGACTTTAACCAACTGCTGTCAGCTCCCCAAGTCTTGGTTTTCTAATCTGTAGAGATTGGTAAAATGGAGGTACCTTCTTATTGTTGGAGGATTAAATGAGAAAATACATTTATAGCTCTTAATACAGCACTTAGCACATAGGAAACTTAATACATGTCCAGCATTATTTTAATTCTGATTAATTCAAGCTATGGCAGAAGCCAGGATTCTGTCTGTGGGTGATGTGTTTCCCCTCTTGCTGAGGGGGCCATACCTGCCTGATCTAAGAGTGCAGTAGTATGAACCAGGGACCTGCTGACTCAGCCTCTCCAGCAGAGCACCTCATTTTAATAAGGGCCATGCAAAGAAGAGAACCCCTCCGATCTTTTTCCTTTACTCTCCGACTAATATCACATTTCACTCTGACACTACATGTGTGGGTCTTCCACACCAAGCAATTCTTTGACACCAGCCTGAAGTCCTACGATTTAACCAAATTCCGACACGACCTACCTGGAGATAGCACTGACTCCACAGGTTGAGGGCTCAGTTCCATAAGACCACCCCTACTTCCATAAGGCACCATTTTCAAACCCCAAGTTGTCACCTATACTTCAGAGAGACTGGCTGTAAGTTGGCTATCTGACTCCCTTCTCAGGTTCCACTACTTGCTAGAATAGCTCACAGAACTCAGAGAAACATTTACATTTACTAATTTTATCATGGATATGATAGAGGGTACTGGTGGGCAGCCAGATGGAAAGATCCATGGGGCAAGGTCCTGCAGACAGGACTGATCAGTAACTCAGCCCCGAACTTTCTCTCCCCTTCCTGGGGGGTGGGGCCACAAGTGCTAAGCTTCTAATTATGGCTTGGTCCTTCTGGTGAGCAGCCCCCATCCTGAAGCAATCCAGGAGCCCACCAAGAATTGCTTCATTAGAGCAAAAGGCACTCTCCTCACTCAGGAAATTCCAAGGGGCTTATTAGGAGTTCAGTGTCAGGAGCCAGAGGCAGAGAACAATATATATTTTTCTATTATATATATTATAATACATACTTATATATAATACATATGATATAATATATATTTCTATTATATATTTTTTTCTATTATTTCACATGTCAAAGTGATGCTTAGGATAATCAAGTTTTAGGAATGCTGTCCTACTCAATATTTACTGCCACCCAGAGTGCTGGCCTATCATGTGGTAGAACATGACAGTCACAGGGCCAAGTGGATGGGTATCAGGAACAGGAAATCCAATCCTTTGAGTCCTGCCCGGCTTATAAATAACTTCTCTGGACCCCCTTTTTAAAATTCAGGGTTTTGTTTTAGCTTTACAATTTTCAAGGCATCTTTTTGTTTTTTAGTTTATTTATTTTGAGAGAGAGAGAGAGAGTAGGGAAGGGGCAGAGAGAGAATCCTAAGCAGGCTCCACACTGTTAGTGCAGAGAGAGAGAGAGAGTGGGGAAGGGGCAGAGAGAGAATCCCAAGCAGACTCAACACTGTTAGTGCAGAGCCCTGATGCGGGGCTTGAACTCACAAACTATGAGATCATGACCTGAGCCAAAACCAAGAGTGGGACCTTTAACCAACTGAGCACCCAGGTGCCCTCAGCTTTAATTTTTTTTTCAATGCAAATTTGTCACTTCTCTGTTGTGGTTAGGCTTTTTGAATTATTGATGTGTGGCCTATTTTTAACCAGCTCAAGCATCATTTTTAAAAATCATGCACACTTTTCTCATCACCAGTCATTGGTGAAAATGTGAAATATCCTCTGTCTCAACTCCTCTCTCTCAGCACTTTTATCTCTGCCCCCAGGTTGAATCTAAATCACTGAGTTTGATCTTTCATGTAGTTGTGGGAAGAGGAATTGTGGCCTGAACATGTTTTTTCAGCTTCTGTGTTGAATATGTCTTGTTAGAGGGACCCAAGACCACCCCAGAAGGCCACAGTGGGTCTCTTGACGTGGCTTTGCAGGCACCTCCCTGTGTTATGAAAGACGACACACAGGGTTTGATAAGGCTTGTCCTTGATTAAGTTCTGCTGATTGTCATTGGCTAATTCAGCATCTTTCATTTCTAATTTTTTCCCTGGAAGATCTGGGTCAGTGTTTTTCCTGATGTGAAAGTTAAGCACACTGATCAATAGCAGGCTGTTCCTTTCTCATTTGGTCTCCATTCAGTAAGTGTTTAAGGAGCACTGACATCCTCTCGTTACTGGTCTCCCTGTCAGGTGTGGGTATCCTCACATGGCTGCTTCTGCAGTAATTTTCCTAAAACACAAATCTGACCTTGTCAGTCTTGTGTGTAATGCTTCTCTCTGCTCTTGAAGGATAAAGTTCCAGCTCTTTTGCTGGACACACAGTCTCCTCTGTCATCAGTTTCTACTCTCAGTCTCACACGTTCTGTCTTGATAACACAGGCTACTTCCCATTTGCAGACATAGTGTCTCATTTTTTTATCTCCTGCCTCTGAGGGCTGCAGCGATGGGACGGGAAATCCAGGGAGGCCATGTAGGACTCATTTAGTGTGAGGATAGGGTGCCCCTACTCAGCCTGAGCTTGGACATGGCTGGACCAGCAAGGAACAGAGTACATCCTTTGTCCACATTGCAGGCTTGCTCTGGGGCTGTTCCATCTGCCAGGATTTCTCTGTTTGATGCCCCAGCCTTCATTTTCTGAGATGAAGAATGAGTCCCTGGGAGTCAGAAGCTCCATCTTGCACCCTACCCCCAGGTGGAGAGCTCTATCAGATCACTTGGAGGTGATCAAAAGGTCATTATGGGGCCATGGCCTGCAGTCAGGGAGCGTTTATCTCTGTAAACATCCTCTCTTTTATATCTTGTCTAGCTTACAAAATTTTATGGCTCTTATGTTATGTCCTGTCCATTGCTTCTTATTTTCTATCTCAAATGACCTTGAATCTTCAGAAATAATCCTTTCTCTTCCATATTAACAATCTATCATCCTTTCTATTGAACTAGAAATTGTGTTGTGATGTTGGATGTGTTTGTGTGTGCATGGAGGAGACGAGTTTCTGGAGTCTGGAATTTCTCCCAGAGTCTCTTTTCCACTGGGGCTCTCAAGAGCCCAAGAAGGACCAATTCCTTCTCATCTTTTTTATTTTTTATTTTTGGGAGAGCGCAAGTGAAGGAGGGGCAGAGAGAGAGGGACAGAGGATCCAAAGCAGGCTCTGGGCTGACAGGCTGACAGCAAGGAGCTCAATGTGGGGCTTGAACTCACAAACTGCGAGATCATGACCTGAGCTGAAGTCGCACACTCAACCAACTGAGCCACCCAGGTGCCCCTCGTCTTTATATTTCTTGACTGATAACACAATGGATACTACATGCCAAGGAAGAGAGGAGAAGCAAAGATGAATATAACACAATCCCTCCTCTCAGAGAGCTTATGCTCAGTAAGGATCTGAAATAGATAACCAAACAATGAGAATCCTGAGTCAGGTACTTTGAGATTACAGACAATGTGGAGCCTCCATCTGGGGACAGTGGGTGGGGATTGGGGAAGCTGATGTGGGGAAGACAACATCGACATTGAGCCAAGTCCTGACTGAAGTGGAGAACTTTTTCAGATGTTAGGGAAGGGCAGGCCAAGCTAATGCAATGGTGTGTCAAATCCTCCATGAGTTTTTCTCTTCCTGAATGGATATTATCATTTCTGTTTAACCGATGAGTAACTGATATAAACCAAAGTTAAAAGACTGACAGCTCCCCAAGAGGTTCTGGGTCCTACAGGCCTGGGAGAGTGAACAAAACAGTGCGGTTTCCATAATCCATAATGTACCTTTTGGACTTTGCTTTGGTTCCTTTGTTTTTGAAGTCCTGGGCACCACTAAGACTGTGACTATATCCTCTCCCTCGAAAAAAATTCACATGTACGCAAATATAAATATTTCAATTTTGATTTCCAAGGCATCACAGATTCCTAGAAGCCTTTTAATCCCAGGTGAGAAGCCCAACTTTAGGGGCTGTTCCTCTTCAGCAGGCCTTTAAGGTTAGAATTTCTCTCCCATCCCCCAGAACCATGGACTCCATGCCTTGAGAGAGACCTTAAAAGTCACATAGAACCAGTTACTTAAATGATATGTCTTTTCTAGGCTAGCCTGTTATATCTTGTTGAACCCTATCCTTGAGAGCTATCAGAGTTGGGAATTTACTGGTTTATGAAGCAACTCCTTGTCTTGAGCAGCCCCATTACATTCTTTCTCATATTACACTCAAATTAGTTTCTTGATTCTTGATTCCTGGCTCTGTCTAGCATGGTCTGGAACAAGAGCAGATCCTCTATCTTTAGGTTTTCTCTGCTAACATCTCCCACCCTCTATGAGGTTAAGTCCTTTATTTTGGGGTTTGGATCCCAAGATCTCTAGGAAATCATTCTCCATGCAATGTGAACATCTCTATATAAGCCTTTTCCCATCTGTCTTCCGAGAATTCTCTTGATAAAACTAATATGTTTCTGCTGAATGGAGTGTCCCAGGGTTAAGTAAATTTGAGGAATGCTATATTGATTTCCTCTTTTAGGAGAGTCATAATGCATATAGGGTATTAAAAGCTCTGATAAGTCCTTCAGCAAAGTCTTTTATATGGTTCTGTTATCATTCTGAGAAGTAGGTTTTTGTTGACACCAAATTGGAAACTGCTGGTCTATAAGAAAGTTTTTAAAGGACTTTTGTTCAAAAAAAATTTTTTTATGTCTTTATTTTATTTTGAGAGACAGAGACAGAGAACAAACAGGGGAGGGGCAGAATGAGAGGGAGACACAGAATCTGAAACAGGCTCCAGGCTCTGAGCTGTCAGCACAGAGCCCGACGCGGGGCTCGAACCCACAAACTGTGAGAGCATGACCTGAACCGAAGTTGGACGCTTAACGGACAGAGCCCCGACGCGGGGCTCGAACCCACAAACTGTGAGAGCATGACCTGAACCGAAGTTGTACGCTTAACGGACTGAGCCGCCCAGGCTCCCAATAAAGGATTTTTGGGAACAAATCTTTTAAGGGAGCTAATCATCCCCTAAATTAATTTTTCCTCTTTTTTCCCCCTACACAGCCTCTTGATTTTGAAACAGTAGCCATTTACAACATTGTGTTCCAAGCGGAGAATCCTGAGCCTCTGGTGCCTGGTGTAAATTATAACACCAGCTCTTCTGCCACGTTCAAGCTTATTGTGAAAGATGTGAACGAAGCCCCCCAATTTTCCCAGCGTGTGTACCAAGCAATAGTTGTGGAAGATGTGGCCATAGGCACTAGAGTGGGCAACGTGACTGCCAAGGATCCGGAAAATCTGGACATAAGGTAGAGACCATGGCCAGTGGGGAGGAAGAAGGGCCGGGAGGGTCAGAGAAGCTGGCCTGACTCTGGGGCTCTCTTCTAAGAAAGCTGCCAGTGATCTGAAGCTCTATCCCAGGGCCCATGGTGAACTTGATCTTGGTTCTAACAGTAGTCAGTACCCTGTGGACATCAACGAGAATCCAGGCTCAGGCAAGTGGGAAACATGTCAGCTTCCATCCCAGCCCACTAACTGCAAATTGTGGCTGAGAGCTGATGAGTTCAGGAGATGGGGTCCAGAAATTGGGTGACCCAAAGCCAGTCTCTGTGTTTGTACCAGCCATGGGGCCAGGGTTTGGGAGAGAGTTCCAGCCCAGTCCCTAAGGTGGACTGAAGCTCTAGATAGAGAGAATGAAACAAAAGGCCAACTGGACAGACTCAGCCACCTGATATAAGGGAATCTTCTGGATGTAGAGTGCCTATGCTCCTTGGATCTCTGGACAATAGCACTGGGGTGACAAGACTCATTCCAGAGCCCACCTCTGGAGAGGCTGGTGCCAAGGCTGAGGCAGTTAGATAAAATGAGTAAACCTTTCCATTCTTAGTCATTTATTCCCCAGTCCCATAGGACATACACAGATATGCCCTAAAAGTGTACAATGATAATTTGCCCCATATATGTGTGTGTGTGTGTGTGTGTGTGTGTGTATTTGTGTGTGTATTTGTGTATGTATCCATATCTGCAGCAGTATCTATAACTTCTTTAAGATTGTATAGTTAACAAGCACATAGATAGGACTTGAGCCCAAATCTTTTGCTTCTGTGGCATGACAAATACTTCAGCATGCCTTAACCATTGCATGTGGTTATAATGACAATTCCCTGAATTTCTTGAAACATTCAAGGAGAGTCTTGCCTCCCAGTGAGCTGTCATTTAGGCACTTGGGATCACTTTCAAGACCCTTTTCTGGTTGTCTATCAAGGTGTAAAGTTCCCATCTACTATTTCACTCTCTACAACCTTCTCTGGTTCCCTAAAAACAAACATAAGGGGAGCCTGGGTGGCTCAGTCAGTTAGGCGTCCGACTTCAGTTCAGGTGATGATCTCACGGTTCTGTGCTCTGTACTGACAGCTTGGAGCCTGGCGCCTGCTTTGGATTCTGTATCTCCTCTCTCTGCTCCTCCCCTGCTTGTGCTTTGTTTCTCTGTCTCAAAAATAAATAAACATTAAAAAAAAGACAAACATAAAAAAGAAAGAACAGTGGGGGCTGTACTGTGTAGTTTAGTGTAGATACTACTGTATAAATCAGAGTGACAAATTATGATGGGGCACAAAATGTTTATATTTTAAAGCCCGTTATTGTTTAACAAATGCTTCTGCCTTCATGAAAATGCTATAAAGATTACTAGTCAAAGATAAGTGATTAAAAATTTGAGTTTATGAGTGAGGAAAACAAAGTCATTTAAGAAAATTTCTTGGATCAAGGAAAAGATATAACATAAATACTATTAAATGGAGATCGGGAAGATGAGGAAGAAAACCCAGAAGGGGAGTGAAAATGAAAATGAAGAAAAGTATTTCAAGAACGAAGAATAATCAATACTTCTGATGCTAGTAATAGGTCAATTGAGAATTAAGGATGGCTCCAAAGTTTTTGGCCTGTGTTCATTCTTTTTCTTGGCCCCACAAATTTATAATCCATCAGCATGCATTGGGTCCTAGTCCAACCCACCAGCAAAAATTAGAGATTCTTTCCTTGAAATATATCCAGAATGAAAATGCTTCTCACCATTTCCACCACGGTCCAGACCACAATCTTCTCTTTCCTGGGTCCATCCTTGTCCCTGCTACTCTTCCAGCCCACCCCAAGTCCCCATGACACAGTCACTGTGGTCTTTTAAAAAAGTGGATCAGCTCAAAGGACTTCTCTGAAAACCTTCCAAAGAGTTGCCATCTTATTCAGAATGACATCCCAAGTACATAGGATTTCTTCTTCATCAGCTATACACACAGCCTAACAATGCTTGGCATATAGAACTAATACTAATATTACAAAAAAATATTAATTTGATGAACTAATACACCCTGGATTTTTAATCATTCTCTTGCTTCTGGACATGTAGGTTGTTACCAATATTTTTTTTATTATATGAAATATTTTGAATATATGTATGAATATAATTCTTTTTTTAACCTTGATTAAATTGTTTTTTATTTGGAGAAAATTTCTGGTGGTGGTATTCTTTGGTCTAAAAATATGGACATCCTTATGGTTATGTTGTGTTGCCTCCCAAAGGGCAACACCAATTGGTTTTCTTGTGGTTCTCGTCTTGTTCTAGATTCATCTCTCACACACCTACCAACGAGTTCCATTGAAAACACAAATATGACTAGATCACCTTCCTGCTTAACAGCATTCTGTGGCTGCCTATTGCTTCTCATGATCTGGCTCTTTCCACCTCTCTTTGGTTTCATCTTTTGCTGTCCGCTGCTTTCCATCTTTACCCCAACACAGCTGGAATGTCTGACTCTCCCATACCACCAGGCTACTCCTTGGCCTCTCTGCATTAGCTTCTGCTTGAAGCATCCTGTCTTGCTTAGCTAACATCTCCTGCTTCAGAAAGCCTTCTCTGGGGTACCACAGGGCCCCTTTCATTGTATTTACCACATTTTATTGGAATTATCTATTTCTGTGTCTGTCTCCTCCATTGGCCCAAGAGCACCCCCCTACTTTTTTTTTTTTTTTTTTTTTTTTTTTTTTTTGGATAATCTCCTCTCTTGTTCTACAGCCTGATGTTTGCTAAGCACTCAATAGATGTTTGTAGAATGAACAATTCACTGTGTCACCAGCCTCTGAGTATCCACCCATTCCCTGGCATCTCCACCCCTGGGGACTCAAGTTTTCTTAATGGGAGTGGTTTGCTAATAAGTTTTAAAAGATACTTTTAGGCTGTCTTAATTGGAAACCTTTGACTTCCAGAAAAGCTTAACTTTTGTCCTCCAGAATTTCTAATATAATGAATCTAACTGCAAATCTGTAAGGATGAAGAAATCCTCCTTTTGAAGATGGATGAGATACAAATAAAGCATTAATAATGTCAATGAATTATCCTTTAAATATTTTATAAGTGATATGCAAGGTATAAGGCTGATATAATGGTATAATAATCCATAGACTATCTTCACATTTCCACCCAGAGTAATGTGGGTTTTCTTTCATTCTTTTCACTTTATGAAGTTATTCTCTGAGAGGCAACAGGAGAGACTGGCTTAAAATTGACCCCGTCACTGGTGAGATATTTACCGCGGCTCTGCTGGACAGGGAAGCTGAAAGTCTGTATCGGGTACAAGTGGTGGCAACTGAAGTAGGTGAGGAAAAAAAAAAGAGCAAATTATTAGCTGATACCTTAATAGAAATGGGAGGGAAGATGATGCGGGTGGGAAACTTAACTGGGTCAAATTGTCTGACTATCTTAGAGTGGAAGGATGGTAAGGGTACAAAAGTGGAGTGAAGTGCTCACACCTTCCTGGTTTTGTGCAAGGTGAGGCCCACGAGTGGCCCTGAACTGGGCTCCTTCAGGCGGGGACGCACCTGCAGGCTGGGAGGCAGCAGGGGAGCTGCTGCTGTTCTCTCCTGTCTCCTGGAGGGGCTACAGCCTCCGGGCAGGGGGTCTGCGTCCCCCTGCACTGCCTCTCCTTCCTCCAAAGTGCTTGTGGGTTTCTGCTGAGAGCAGGACTAAACTGCCCTGCTGACCTAGACCGTTACTTGCTCCTTCAGCCTGCAAGCGCAGCGGTTCAGGTCTGATCCTTTCTGAAACAGAAAATATTTGGGGTGCTCTGGTGGCTCAGTTGGTTAAGCGTCCGACTCCGGCTCAGGTCATGATCACATGGTTCGTGGGTTCAAGCCCCGCGTCGGGCTCTGTGCTGACAGCTAGCTCAGAGCCTAGAGCCTGCTTCCAATTCTGTATCTCCTTCTCTCTCTGACCCTCCCCTGCTCACGCTGTCTCTCTCTCTCTCTCTCTCAGAAATAAATAAAACAAAAAAAAATGTTTTTGAAACAGAAAATATTTGAAAAAATTTTTGAGAGAGTACAAGCAGGGGAGGGGCAGAGAGAAGGAGAGACAAAATTCCAGGCAGGCTCAGTGCCATCAGTGCAGAGCCTGATGTGGGGCTCAAACTCACAAACTGAGATTGTGATCTGAGCAGAGATCAAGAGTTGGATACTTAAGCGACTGCACCAACCAGGTGCCCCTGAAACATGTGGGTTTCACACAAAAAAATGTTTTTTGTCATGTTTTCAACTTGGATATGTGCCAGAACTGCCTGGGGGCCTGTTCGATAAGGCGGGAGGAGTGCATCCCTGGAGATTCTGATTCACTAGGTTTGGCTGGCCCTGGGTATCTCTGTTTTGATGAGATCGGGTGAGCATTTGAAAGAAAAGACGTGTATATATAGATGAGCCCAGAATGTTTGAATCATCCTGCATAATCTTCACATTCCATTGGATCCCATTGTGGTGATATATATCCCGCACTGATTTTGAATGTAGAGTTCCAGGGAATTTAAAAAATTAAAATAAGCATAAACCCAAAGGAATAGTATGCTTCCCAGTGATAAGGCTGGTGATGAATACATTAGGTTTCTTTGCATTTAAATGGAATTTTCTAACTTAGAGGAGAAATTCTATTGATCTTATGCTGGTTGAAGCTTCTAATTAAATAGTAAATATATCTGCCTGGTTTACCAAAAAATGAGAATTGAACAAATTGGAACTAAATAAATACAGCTTTATTTGTAAAAAAAAAAAACAAACAACTTTCAAAATGTGAGGTCCGGGGTTGGGAGGTGGAATGGGGGAACATTCCAGTGGATGGGAATCATAAAAATGGCCCCTGCCTGTGAAAAGATTAACAAAAACAAAAGCACCATAGTCAAATTGAGCCAATGAGGGTGGAAATTCAGAAGTGTCTGCCAAATTTGGAACAGTTGTGTACAAGCGGACGTGCCTTGCTGAAGCAGGGCCGGGGGCGGGGGGGGGGGGGTGCTGTCTCCCTTGCTTGTTTCCAAAGAAGCACATTCCATTATCATAGTGTATACCTTTAACTCTTGATTTAAAAGCTCCCGATTAATCAGGAAGTTTCTGGCTGAGTCTTTGCGCCACATGTTCCGCTACAACATACCAGGGGGATTAGCGCTTCACTTTGGATGGGTCCTAGAGTCCTTTCACATCTTAGAAGTTCCACGAATCAAAATATGGATTCAATGCCCTGTACTCCTTGTTGGCTCTGAAATGATGCCGATAGATGAAATGACCTCAAGAGCACAGTGTCTTCCTCCTTTGGTTAAATGTGGTCAGAGCCGTAGAAGATGATTGAAAAGCAAAGCAAGAAGACAGGGTTCACTGGAATTGAAGCAGGACAGGGTCAGAAATTGTGGAACTGGTATGTGTGATGGATGTCAGGGAAGAGGAGAGTCAGTGTTTACGTTGCCCTGGCAGCCTTGTTTCAGGTACTCAGTGTGATAACTTAATCTTCATACAACACTTTGGGTAGCTACTATTATTGACCATGTTTTATGGATGAGGAAATCAGGGCCCTGAGAAGTTAAGTAACTTGACCGCAATCACATGGCTACCAACCGTTAAGGCTATAGAGTCTAAATCTTTCATCTCTACACCATAGAAAATAACGTCCATGTAGCCCTTTGCTTTTTTCAACAAATGCAACATGTGGGATCCTCACAAAGTCACATCTTTTACAGCTGCAGAAACGAGGCGTAGAAAACTTCACAACCATGCCTGAGTCAGTGCCAAGGAGCGGTTGTGGGCTGTAGAGTGAGACTTCCTGGGATGGAAGCCTCTCTCCTGCTGTGTGACCTTGAGCAAGTCACACAACTTCTCTGAACCTCAGTGTTGTCATCAGTAAATGCACATCAGAGTTGTTTTGAAGTAATGCATATAAAACATTAGTGTATAAATCTTATTATTATTATCACTAAGAGTTTTTAACCAGGAAACAAAACTAGATCTGATTCTAAAAGCTTGTTATCTTTCTACTACCTCAGTATACCCAACTCCTTTAATTGTTTTTTTTTTTTTTAAGAAAAGGAAATATCTTGATATGTTATGAGGAAAATGAAAAAGCTGATACCATGTTTCAATCCCTTACTTCCTTAGGCGGCTCCTCCCAGAGCTCCACCGCCAGTTTCCACCTGACCCTCTGGGACATCAATGACAACCCCCCTCGGCTAGCCAAGGAGTACACAGGCTTGTTTCTGTGTCATCCCCTCCAGCAGGAGGGGACTCTCATTTTTGAGGTCACTGATGATGATCGGCAGTCATTGCTGCATCAACACGTTTCATTTTCCATTGGCAGTGAAAGCTTCCAACATGACTGGAATGTTTTGAGAATCAATGGTGAGTTGAACCAAACACTGATCGATGATAAAATTAGTTTTTATTTGCCTTGGTGTGTTAGTGGTGCACTCAGCGCTGAGTTTCCTCCCACGATGCAGGTAGGAAGCTCAAGCTTTGGGAACTTGGAGAGGGGTGCTCTCCAGGGGGAAGGAAAGGCCTGGGCTTTGGGGGGAGGAGAGATTAACACATGGCACCCCCCCTTAGTGTCTATGGGCAGTCGGACAATCTGAGGGCATTTGCAAAATTTCCAGTGGTGGCTGCAGAACAGATTTCATAATGGTTTTCAAAAATAGCTTAATAGAAAAATAATTGTCACACAATAAGTGGCACATATTTAAAGTGTACAGTTTTATAGAAATTGATACATGTAGACCCCATTGAAGCCCTCAGCACCAAAAGGATAAGAACATTTTCACTCTCCCCCCCAAGATTTTTCATGCTCTAGCTCTAGCTGCAATTCCCCATTTTCCTCTCATCCCTGGGGAGCCACAGATCTGCTTTCTGTCACTCTAGATGAGTTTGGATTTTCAAGAATTTTATCGAAAGAAGGTAATACAGTATGTACTCTTTTTGGCTGGCTAGTTTCCCTTAGCGTACTTATTCTGGATTTTATTTGTGTTGTTCTGTGTATCAATACTCATACTTTCAGATTGCGGAGGAGTATTCCATTGTATGGCACTCTCATTTTGTTAGCTATTCACTTCTTGATTGTCATTTGGTTTGCTTCTAATTGCTGCTATTTCGAATAAAGCTGCTATGAGCATTGTGAACAGGAATTTTGTAGGAGTATATGCTCTCATGTTTCTTGGTTAAATATCTAGAAGTGGAATGGCGGGGGCATATGGTAGCTGTATGGTTTAAAGTTTCAAGAAAGTGACAAATTGCTTTCCAGTTTGTAATGTTTTACATCCCTAGCAGTGTATGAGAGTTCTAGTTGCTCAGTATTCTTCCCAATCCTTGCTCTGCTTAGTATTTTTAATTGTAGCCATTGGGAGTGTAGTAGCATTTCATTGTGGTTTTATGTTTCCCTAAAGACTAACAGTGTTGAGCATCTTTTCTTGTGCTTATTTGCCACCCATTTATTTTCACAGGTGGAAGGTCTGGTCAAATTTTGTGCCCATTTGAAAAATTTGGCTGTTTGCCTTCTATTGTTGACACCTATCATTCTTTTTATAGTTTAGGTACAAGTTTTTTGTCAGATATGTGTTTACAAATATTTTCTCCCGGGCTATGACTTGCATATCTTTTGAAGAGCACATTTACAATGTTTGATGTCACCTGATTTATTGATTTTTAGATTTTATATAATTTGTAACTTTTTGTGTGATATTTAAGAAATTTTTGCCAAACCTAAGGTTACTAAAATTTTCTAATTTTTCCCCTAAAGTTTAAAAAAAATGTTTATTTATTTTGAGAGAGAGAGAGAGAGAAAGAGAGAGAGAGTGAGAGAGAGAATGCAGGGGAGAGGCCGAGAGAGAGGGAGACACAGAATCCAAAGCCGGCTCCAGGCTCTGAGCTATCAGCACAGAGCCTGATGTGGGGCTCAAACTCACGAATTGTGAGCTGAAGTCAGATGCTTAGCCAACTGAACCAAACAGGTGCCCCCAGTTTTTCCCCAAAGGCTTTATAGTTTCAACTTTTACATGATTTATTTCAAGTTAATTTTTGCATGTGGTGTGTGGTGAAGGTCAAGTTTCATTGTATTTAATAAGGCCATCTAATTGTTCTGACACTATTTATTGAAAATCTCCTTTTCACATTGAATTGCTTTGACAGCTTTGCCAAAAATCAAGTGACCACATATATATGGATCCTTCTCTGGACTTTTCTGTTTCACTGATCTTTTTGCCAACATTTGTACTAATACTACCCTGTTTTGATTACTATTACTCTATAGTAAAACTTGAAATCAAGTAGTGTAATTTTTCCAACTGTGTTCTTTTTCAAGATATTTTTTCATCTATTCTAGGTCTTTTGCATTCCATATGCGTTTTAGAATTTAGCTTGTCCATTTCTACCAAAAAAGCGTATGGAAATTGTGATTTGGGATCGTGTGAATCTATAGCTGAATTTGGGAGATAATTGACATTTTAACAAAACTGAATCTTGCAAGCCATGGACATGATATATATCTTCGTTTACTTAGTTCCTCTTTAATTTCTCAGAGCTAAGTGTTTCAATTTTCAGTGTACATTTTTGGCAAAATTTCACCTAAGCATCTCATATTTTTAAAAATTATTTTAAAATGTTTTTATTTATTTATTTTGAAAGAGAGAAAGAGAGACAGAGAGAATGAATCCCAAGCAGGCCTCTTGCTGTCAGTGCAGAGCCTGATGCAGGGCTCGATCTCATGAACCATGAGATCATGACCTGAGTCAGAATCAAGTTGGATGCTTAACTGGTGCCCCCAGCATTTCTTATTTTTTATATTATTTTAAATGGTATTTAAAAATTTTATTTTTAAGTAATAGCAAGATATGAGAAAATAATAGATGATTTTTGTATATTAATCTTATATCCTATAACACTGCTGACCTCACTCTTAGCTCTCTTTTTTCCTTTACAACTCCATGGGTTTTCTTTTTTTAAGTTTATTTATTTATTTTTGAGAGAGAGAGCAAGAGAGCTAGCTCACAGGCAGAGGAGTGGCAGAAAGAGAGAGGAAGACACAGAATCTGAAGCAGGCTCCAGTCTCTGAGCTGTCAGTGCAGAGCCTGACATGGGGCTCAAAATCATTAACCATGAGATCATGACCTGAGCTGATGTCAGATGCTTAACTGACTGAGCCACACAGGCGCCCCTCCCAAGATTTTCTACATGGACAATCATGTTGTCTGAAAATAATAACATTTTAATTTCCTTTCCAAACCAGATGACTTTTATTTTTTTATTTTGTTTTATTTGTTTATTTATTTTTAATATTTTTATCTATTTCTAGGAGGGAGAGAGAGACAGTGTGAGCAGGGGAGGGTCAGAGAGAGAGGGAGTCACAGACTCCGAAACAGGCTCCAGGCTCTGAGCTGGCAGTCAGCACAGAGCCCGACGCGGGGCTCGAACCCACGAACCACGAGATCATGACCTAAGCGAAAGTCGGACGCTCAACCGACTAAGCCACCCAGGCGCCCCTTTTTATTTTGTTTTATTACTGGCTAAAACCATCAGTAGAATGTTGAATGAAAGTAGTGAGAGTAGAAGTAAACCAATCTTGGGAGAAAGCTTTTAGTCTTTGACCATTGAGTATAAAGTTTGCTGTAGTTTTTTTGTATCAGATTGAGGAGTTTATCATGTGTTCCTAACTTGCACAGAGTTGTTTAATTGTTTGTTTGCTTGTTTTAACTAGGAATGGATGCTAAAATTTTCATCTGCCTGTTTTGCATCTATTGAAATGATTGATTTTTTTTGGTCTATTGATTGGTGAATTAAATCAATCAACTTTTGGAATCACCTTCTAGATCTTAAACCAATCTCTTCTTGGTATAATGCTACTTGGTGGTGAAATACAGCATTTTTATGTATTGCTGGATTTGATTTGCAAAAATTTTAAGGATTTCTCCATCTGTATTCATGAGGGATATTGGTCTGTATTTTTCTTTCCTTGTAATGTCTTCATCAGATTTTGATGTCAGAGTAATTCTGCTTCATAGAATGAGTTAAGAAGTATTCTACTTCTTCAATTATCTGGAAAAGTTTGTGTAAAAAATTTTTTTTTTATTTCTCTCTTAATGTTTGGTAGAATCTACCATGAAGCCATTGTGGACTCAGAGTTGTCTTTATAAAAAGTTTTAAGTAAAAATTCAATTTCTTGGGGGCACCTGAGTGGCTCAGTCAGTTGAGCAACCAACTGTTGATTTTGGCTCAGGTCATGATCTCATGTTTCCTGAGATTGAGCCCTATGTTGGGTTCAGCGCTGATAGTATCTAGCCTGCTTGGGATTCTCTCTCTCTTCCTCTCTCTCTGCTGCTTCCCTGCTCATGCTCTCTCTCCTCCAAAATAAATAAGCTTAAAAAATTCAATTTCATAAATAGATACAGGGCTATTTAAGTTATAGATTTTTTTCTTGGTTGAACTTACTAGTTTGTATCTTTTAAGTAATTTGTCTATTTCATTCAGTTTGTCTAATTTATTGGCACAAAGTTACTTGTCATATTGTTTTATTCTCAAAATCGCAGAATATATAGTGATATCATCACCTCATTCTGAGATTGGGAAATTGTCTCTTTTTTCCTAATCAATCTGGCCAGAGGTTATTAATTTTACTGATATTCTCAAAGAACCAGCTTTTGATTTCATAGATTTTTTTTCTGACTTTTTTTGTTTTGTATTTCAGTGCTCAGATTTTTATTATTTCCTTTATTCTTCTTATGTTGTGTTTAATTTGTTCTTGTTTTATTTTTATTAAGGTGGAAGCTGAGGCAATTAATTTGGAAAGTTTTTCTTTGTTAATGTGGGCATTTGGTGCAATAAATTTATCTCTTAATGTCATGTTAGCTGTATTCCACAAAGTTTGATGTGTTGTGTTTCCATTTTCATTCAGTTCAAAATACTTTCCAATTTCCCTTTAGATTTCTAATGTGACCCATGGCTTGTTTAGAAGTGTGTTCTATAGTTTCCAAATATATGGGGATTTCCCATATCTTTGATTATGGATTTCTAACTTAACTTTAGCAACCAGGGAACAATTGACTAGAATACTTTCAAATTTATTGAGAATTTTGTCTTCAGTACTTTAAAGATGTTTTTTCCACGGTGTTTTGGATTTCACCATTTCTTCTTTGTTCCCTTAAATGTAACATATCCTTTTTACTCTGGATACTTTTAAGATTTTCCTTTTCACACACCCATACATGTGCACTCGCGCGCGCACACACACACACACAAGCACGCACGCACACACACACACAAGATGACCTTTCTCACTAGTTTTAAGCAGTTTGATTACTATGTGCTTTAGCGTCACTTTGTTTGTTTTCCTTTTTCCTGGGATTTATGAATCTTCTTGGATCTGAGGACCTAGAGTTTTCACCTAATTTGAAAAATTATTTAGCAATTATTTCTTCAAAAATCTTTTCTCTTTCTAATTCAGTGTTTCATTCAGTCTAATGTTATAGAACAAAGCTACAGTGCTATGATAGCCAACTATTTATTCTACAGAGAAATCATGAATTGAGAAATTAAAGGGTACTTTGGCATCCTATTTGACGTTATGGAAGGCACATGTTGAGTGGTGATACTTTGGGTAATTTAACTCATACTTACATCGAATAATTTCCTGGCCAACCTTAGTGTATACTGCAAAGGTGAGCTTTATTCCTGTTGATATATGGGTATGAAGTTGTGTTTTCATGTCATTCATTTTTCCCCCCTATTCTGACAGACACTCATGGCAAACTTTCGACCAAGGGCACGAACTTTGAAGAGCGAGTTTACAATGTCCCAATCCGCGTCCGTGACGGTGGTAGGCCACCCTTGGAAGGGCTGGTCTATTTACCAGGTAGGTATTTTGCCACAGGCAGCTTGGGATAATGTCTGTCACTACGGGTATAGTTTGAGAGAATTCTTGGCTTTGATATAGGATTTCGCAACTGTTTGCTTGAAATGTATTTTACCAAATACCGTTTTGCTTTTCAGTTACTTTCTGCAGGTGTGTGGAAGGAAGTTGTTTTCGGCCAGCAGGTCACCAGTCTGGGATGCCCACTGTGGGCATGGCAGTTGGTATACTCCTGACCACATTTTTGGTTATTGGTGAGTATAATTTCTCAGATTCAAGGATTCCTGTTCTGGGCCTTAGAAACACCTGGGGCACCTGGGTGGCTCAGTCGGTTAAGCATCCAACTTTCACTTAGGTCCTGATCTCGCGGTTCGTGGGTTCGAGCCCCGCGTCGGGCTCTGTGCTGACTGCCAGCTCAGAGCCTGGAGCCTGTTTCAGAGTCTGTGACTCCCTCTCTCTCTGACCCTCCCCTGCTCACGCTCTCTCTCTCTCTCCTAGAAATAAATAAAACATTAAAAAAATTAAAAAAAAAAAACCACTTACCTCAGGGTCTATCTTTGGGGCTGGTCTGGTGGCTGCTCACTGGCATTCTAGGGAATAACCAGGAATATACATTACCAGCAAACCATCAGACTTTTCTAGTTGAGAGCCTATTTGAGAGACTAGTTGAGAGCCTTAATACCACCTGTTACCTATCATTGGTTAGTTGGAAAATATAACACAAGAGGCTTTAAAGCATAAATTGTTATATTTTGTGCCTAGTTTCCAAGCTTTTGAGATGAAGGAGAAAGAAATGCAGTTGCTGTGGCCTTGCTTTGTTCCAGGCACTATGTTTGCTTTGGGGAATAGGTGATGGGCAAAATCTACACAGAATCTACACCCACAGAGCTTACAGTCTAGTCTACCATTGTTGGAACCAGGAGAACTAGCTTTCCAGTGCAGATGCTTACATACTTAAAATGTTGCAGAACTTCTCTTTGAGGATTTTCATGATGGTAGACTAATTCTTTATTACCCCAAGAACAAGTCTAGTTTATCATGGGCCTTATTCTGCTTTGGCCCATGGCCATACTAGACAGTAGAGTCCCCATTTATAGCCATCTTCTTTTTTTGTGAAAAGCTCAATGCTCAAAGAGGTCCTCTTTCAATTGTTGTCCTCATCATAAGTTAAGTATTAGAAATAGATACCTTACCAAGTCATGTCCATTTGACTGAAAGGGTTTATGCCATTTCACATCCTTTCTCTTTGAAAAGGAAGGCTGAGATTATTCTAAGAATTCTTTTTTTTTTTTAATATTTTTATTTATTTCTAGGAGAGAGAGAGAGAGAGACAGCGTGAGCAGGGGAGGGTCAGAGAGAGAGGGAGTCACAGACTGAAACAGGCTCCAGGCTCTGAGCCGGCAGTCAGCACAGAGCCCGACGCAGGGCTCGAACCCACGAACCGCGAGATCATGACCTAAGCGAAAGTCGGACGCTTAACCGACTAAGCCACCCAGGCACCCCTATTCTAAGAATTCTTAATTGTTCTCTTGGCATTTGGTCTTTTCTGCTACTATCCAATCTATCACATTAGACTCTGAATCACAGCTCTAAAAGAGGCCTCATTTCCTTATACCATTCCATCCAGATTCCTCATGATCATGACATGGAAGGGCCTTTGTGACATAGCCACTACTTATCCTAACATGTGCATGGGGATCATCTTTTCACCCTGTTCACAGTCTGGTGCATACCCTTCCACCCTAATTGATCTAGACTTTTGAGTTTTCACTAACTTAAGCTTCCTTCTACCTTCATGCATTTTCTTATTCTATCCTCCCTCCCATCTTGAAAGGATTTTTGAGTTTATACACCAAATAGCAGTTTTCTCAGATGACCATTTAATAATTTTGCCACAGGTTAGACTGGGTGAGTTTGGGAATATCTAAAAGTAGAAGTAATAAGATCTTACAGTTTCATATCCTTACATTTTTAAAAGTAGGGTTTGAATTAGTGCAAGAATTTTTTTAATGTTTATTTTTTAATCTTTAATAGAACACAAATAGGGAAGGGGCAGAGAGAGAGGGAGATAGAGAATCCAAAACAGGCTCTGCACTGACAGCTTAATGCAAGGCTTGAAACCACAAATCATGAGATCATGACCTGATTATGACCAGACACTTAACTGAGTGAGCCACCCAGGCACCCTGGAATTAGTGCAGAATTCTTAACGGGTCTCTGGGCATCCTCTGTTTTCTGCCATGGTTCCTTCTGTAAATTTACTGCAGGCTTATTTCCTTAAAACAAGTCCCCTTTTCCATTTTTGTTTCTGGTTTATAGTATACACTTAGTGCTAAAATGCACAATGTAATTTTGTAGGCATTCAGAGATAGGAGAAGCTAGGAAGGTTAGGGAGTCTACTCAAGCTGGAGCTATGAGAAGGCACCAAAGAAAGCGTGATAACTGGTGTGGACACACCTAAGCTTTGGGTAGGTAAACAGGTCAGAGAACAGCTTTCTGGTTGTTCTGACTGGACTATTTCCTTTAGAGAAGAGGATGAAGGACTGGAATCAACATTCACTGAGTACATCCAAAGTTCAGTAACTCTGTCAGATGCTTATACACTTAGTTGTAAGTGTTACATACATTAGTTCCTATATTCCTTGGTAAAAACCCAGCAATAGCCCCCAGCATAGATATGATTTGGGAGTTGATACATACTTACTGAACAAGATAAATGATAAGCTTATGAGTCCAAGAAAACCAATGCCTAGAATCCCTTATTCACCAGGACAATGAAACGTTGTTGAACCACAAAAAGAAATGAAGTTACATGAGTCACTTTTTCCTACCAGGGTACTACTTTATAAACAAATGTGATAGTACATTTTCAGATTCCATCTCTTTGACCTTGAGTTTTCTCTTTTAGGTGTAATTTTAGCAGTTGTGTTTATCCGAATAAAGAAGAATGAAGGCAAAGATAATGTCCAAAGTGCTCAGGCATCCGAAGCCCAACCTCTGAGAAACTGAATTTGAACAGGAATGTTTGAGTTTATGCACCAAGTACTATTTCAGTCACACAACCATTTAATCCCATAGTTTTACTTTTTATCCAACATGTGCTCTGTAATTTTTTACAGATATACACTCTTGCCCTTTAATATTTTATTACTCTTTGATATTTCATGTGTTATAGGCATTAGAGACATTTTCCATTTTCCCATGACACTTTCCCCTCTGCAAAAGCCTTCTCTATTTATCCAAAACCAAAAATGTATGTGGTTTTTTCCCTTTAGGGAAAGATGGACTGATGAACTATTCTGCTCATTTTCTCCTTATCAAGATTTATCAGTCATCTACCACAGAACTTCCTGGATTCCATTCATACTTTCTCCAGTTCTATCCTATGTCTCCTTCCTCATGTCTCATTTGGTATTATACTAATTTTAAGACATTTGTTGGAGAAAAGAACAAAGTGAGGTCTCAGGATAAAAATAAAATAGGAGACCCATCCCTTAGTGTGAAGAGACACTCTCTTGTGTTAGTAGCCTTCTTAGCCTCACTGGGGCTCATACTGCTTCTCATTTGAGGTTCTTCCACTTGGGAATGACACAATCCACACAGGCCCCTCTCATAAATTTTCATGCAGAAACCAACCACTGATTAGACTTACTACCTACCAGGCTTACATGATGCACATATTTTCCTTTATGTGTATATTAATAAAGTTTTGGTTACTGTATATTTAATGGTAAAAGAAAATAAGAACATGTGAAAGAAGTAGTGACAAAAACCAAGGATAAATGTTGGCTCTGGTTTTGTTTCTTGACCTCTTTGGCTCTGCTTCCTGGTTCTTTGCATTTGTTGAGGGAAGACCTGGATAGCCATGGTCACTTACTGTTGATCAGAACTGCCTCCCATGTAGAGTGGGTCTGTAAGGAGGAATCTACAGTGAAATAAAAGTTCACTGCTTTCAGGACCATGGATTGGGTTCAAGCAGATATTGCTGGAATTTAATATCTTTAAATAAGAGAATCTTAGACATTTGGAAGCATCTTTAGGTCTGGAGCGATTGTCTTGCTCATGCTTTGAGCCTTGAAATTACAAAACAACATTATAAAATCTCAGAATTTCCAAGAATTTTTTGGAAAAGATCTTGTATCTGAAAAGGTGCTCTTATAATGGCAGTGAAGCAGGCCATGGAGTTCTGTTTTTCCTACACAATCCTTTTTGTGGCCTTCTATTGTATTTTTTATAGGCAAAAAAGTAAAACAAGGGGCACCTGGGTGGCTCGGTCAGTTAAGCGTCTGACTTCGGCTCAGGTCATGATCTCACGGTTTGTGGGTTTGAGCCCCACATCAGGCTCTGTGCTGACAGCTCAGAGCCTGGAGCCTGTCTCAGATTCTGTACCTCCCTCTCCCTCTGACCCTCCCCTCTCTCTCAGAAATAAATAAAAAAACATTAAAAAAAGTAAAACAAAAAATATCCAAACTCTAAGACCTCATTTTGCTTTTTTGTATAATATCTTGTGCTTCAAACTCTTACCTGTTTTTGTACATGAGGCTCATTGAAAGTCTTGTAATGGGTAAAGTTCTCCGTTGTTTCATTGTACATTAAAAAACAAAACCAAAATCCAAGAATACCAAAAGAAAATTTGCTTCACAAGTTATACCCCAAAGAATAGTCTTCCTCAGCAGCTTCTGTAGGTATATTGTGTGTTTTGATCAAGAGTGACTATGATGTGAGGCACCTAGGTGGCTCAGTCAGTTTAGTGTCCGACTTTGGCTCAGGTCATGATCTCACAGTCTGTGGGTTCGAGCCCCACGTCAGGCTCTGTGCTGACAGCTCAGAGCCTGGAGCCTGCCTCGAATTCTGCTCCTCCCCTGCTCGCTCTCTGTCTCTCAAAATAAAGACATAAAAAAAGAAAAAAAGAGTGACTATGATGTGACATGTAGGCCACATAAAATTGCATCATTTCTTGTCCTGCTTATTTTCAAGAAATCCTGTTATCATTATTGAAAGGCCAAAATAGTCCCAACACAGGTTTGCTAAATTGGGTTCAGGGTCTAACCTGCCTCAATTCAGTGTTGTTCTCTATGGACCAACTTGTGCCACCTAACAATGGACTGATCACATAGAATCTTCCCATCTAAAATCATTGATCAGTGTTCATACTTTTCTTGCTGTTTCCCCGCCCCCTCCCAGGGTGGGCCCTTTCTCTCAACCTTCTCTTCCTTCCATGACCAGATCCTACCCATTCTTGAGGTCTTAAAGATAGATTTAAACACTGGTTCCTTTGGGAGGCCTTCTCTGATTTCCTACAGGAGACCAGGCCATTACCTCACGTAAACTTCCACACTGTAGTGAGAAAAATTGTTTGGCCAGGGTCCATTCCCTCTTCTGGTTAGGGTAGCTCTATTTCCACTAGGAAACATTTCCTCCACCCCTCACATAACCTATATAGTTTGGGTAGAGCCAAGCCCCTGTGTTTCCTTATCCTTCCAGTTTTAGAGATAGGTACTCCATCTCACCAAGACTTCTAGAATACTGGTTGAGACTCTTAGAAAATAGCTCTCTTCAAGTGGAATTTGCTAAATGAGTAGGAAGTTAGCTTAGAGCATTCTGATCACCAATAAGGTGAGCTTGTTCCTGAACAAGGACAATAGAGAGTCAAGAGATGGGAGGGAATTCAAAAGATATTGAGTACCAGGATCCAGCCTTGTTTGAAGGCAAGCTTCCCCTGCACATTTTTATCCTGTGAGCTGGTACATTCCTTTTTAACTTAAGCCTCGATGTATTTCTGGCCCTTGCAGGAAAAAGAGTGGTATTTAAATCTTGCTTCTGGCCCTTCTCATGTTCTACAGTTACATCCCATTTGATCTCTGCAACTGGTTGGGGACTTTTCATAATCCTTGCAATGCCACTATGACAGGTCTTGGCTCATCGTGGCTCCTCCATAGTTTTTTAAAGAACGCGTAAATGAGAGAGTCATTTTGGCCACTTATGTTACCGTCATTTAAGTGCCATTCAACAAAATTGGAACTAACTCGCTCTTTGTGTTCACTTACCCTATCCTCAAAGACATCTGATCTTCCACTTTACTGCCCCTTTCCCTCCATACAAACCCTGATGCTCCATTCAAACATCCTCAGGTCTGGCTGTGGTGGTGCATGAGGTCTATGAATTAAAAAGCCCCTGAGAATTTCTGGATGGTTAAGAATAGCTGTGAGATGAGAGTCTAGTGGTGGAGGCGGGAGGAATAGGTGGCAACTTCTGTGAGCAGCTCTGTAGAAAGTCTCCAAGGCATCTGGGGAACAATACATTTAGAGTGGAGATCTCTGAGTATCGGTCCATAGTCTAAACAACCCACAGGCAGGAAGCAGAGATTACATTTGAAGTATCTAAGGCATGAAGGAATCAATTCATTTCCAAATTCGGTACAATGCTATATGCATCATGGGAGTTTGTTAAACTTGGACCCTTAAAAGTCATCCAAAGAGATATGATATCTTATAATTCAACTTAAAAAATCAGTTTATCTATTTTTAAAAATTTATTTTGAGAGAGAGAGAGAGAGGCAATCCCAAACAGGGTCCTGCACCATCAGCACGGAGTCCAATGTTGGGCTCAAACTCAAGAACCATGAGGTCATGACCTGAGCCAAAATCAGAAGTCAGACGCTTAACTGACTGAGCCACCCAGGCACCCTCAGTTTAACTACTTTTAAGAATACACTTATTTTGCATTAGGTAAGTCCGTATGGTTGTGCAACCATTCAACATCCATCTTAGAACACTTTTTAAAAATTTTTTATTTATTTTTGAGAGATAGAGAGACAGTGCAGCAGCGGGGGAAGGGCAGAGAGAGAGGAAGACACAGAATCCGAAGCAGGCTCCAGGCTCTGAGCCATCAGCCCAGAGCCCAATGTGGGGCTCGATCTTGTAAACAGCAAGATCATGAGCTGGGCTGAAGTCAGATGCTCAACTGACTGAGCCACTCAGGCATCCCTAGAACACTTTCATCTTTCATCTTCCCAGATGAAATTCTACCCATTAAACATTAACTCACCATTCCCTTCCTCCCCCAAGCCTCTGGGAACCACTATTCTAACTTTCTGTCTCCGAATTTGATTATTCTTTGTACCTCATATAAATGGAATCCTACCATGTTTGTCCATAATATCAATGATTTAAAATAGTAGCAGGAAAAAAAATAGAATTCAAACCTAGAATTTGTCTCATGAGGAGATTGTCTCGAAACAAATGCTATTTTGGGTTTTGCCTGTATCCATGTCACACACATTCTATACACTTAAGTATACATTTTACACACACATGAAGATATCCATACAATGGATATGTTTGTTCCCCAGACACCACAGATGCTGGCGTTGCTCCTAAACTTCTCGTCACCAAAGCCTGTCTCATTCTGACTGGGTCCCAGGAAGTGTGGTCAGGTGGTGGGTGACCACAGGGGTTCTCAGTGGCTGCATGTTAAAATCACTTGGGGGAGTTTTTCAAAAATACTCATTCCAGGGCCTCATCTCCAGATGAATCTCTGGGCAGAAAGTCGTAGCTTTAGCATTAAAAAAACATCTCTCCAGTGTGAATCTAGTGTGTATCCCCAACTGAGAACTTACTCCAGACAACCCTGGAGGACATAGTTAGCACCCAGGTGGTGTGGAATGTGATCCCTTTTAGGGTCTGAATCAGCATGCCTCTTTGGAATCTTGGTTCCCCAGTCCTCTCGAATTTCTAGGCACCTGCCCAGAGCCCTTCCAAGTGCAAACACAGACCCTGACCCAATGCTCAGGGAAGGGGGGTTGGGGTGGGGTGGGGGCTGGCAGGAGAGCCATGCCTTGACCCACAGAGATCCTTCAACTAACAGCAGCCTGGTGTGTCCAGGCTCCCATCACTCTGGCACCACACGGGAGTCTGTGAACTCCAACCCAGAAGCTGAGAAGAAAGAAGCCTTTGCTGCTGCAGGGGAGCGGCCCTCTCGGAGGGCCAGAGCTGGGTGATGAGCGTCAGTGCCTAACTTTTCACCATACATAAGCCTCACAAAAATTACTCTAAAAATGTGCATCTCTGTAAAGTGACCCTACTGTGTCTGTGCTTGGAGAGTTGGCTATTTATTTATTAAATGTC